TGTTTGTAAACCATTAGAACACACATCTGAGGTTGGACAGAGCTCAAATTTCAGCGACGGCATCAGAAGCCACAGTTAGGAAACAGCAAGAGGGGATGGCATAGGGGACTATCCGACCCCAACACTTCACTGTGCCTCCTCCCAAGGTGATGATGAAGAGGGAAATGGGCCAGATGTTTTAGAATAGCAGCGAGCATTTGAGAACCTGCTAAATTTTGTGTTTTCCAGAGTATCAAGGTCCCCATCTAGGAAAACACATCAGGAAATATGACTATGAATCAGCTGCCTGAGCAAACAGCCAGGATGGAGCCCACATCATCACAGGACTCAACAATATCATTGAAAACATCAGCTGTTTATTCCAGTACATAAAGACGTAGGTTCAAAGAGAACGAGCTAGAGAACCCTGGAAGTCACGTTATTAACCATCTATTTATTTATATCAGCTCCTTTTTTTTCCCCAAGAGTTATACCCAAAGAGCATCACAACAAAGTCATTTTACAAATTGCTGCTAGTTGTTCATGAGTCTGGGATGCACAGAATCTTGTTCAAATCATAGAGGTACAGCTACCTCTGTCCATCAGGGCTTGTAAATTTAAACCAATTCAGTTCAGAAAATACTTCTTGACTCCCTAGCATGTGAAAATACTATACAGGAGACCACGTTGAACACAACGTGGCCCTGACCTCAAGGGACTCATTACCACTAGAGCTCTATTGACCCATAGAGCTACCAGCAGTTCTATGAAATTTAAAATTCAGTGCTTATGATGCATCCATGATATCTTTAGTATTCAATAGCCACATGTGATCACTGGCCACCATGTTGGGGAGGGCAGATAGAGAGCAAGGCAGTCATTAGGCAGTGTGGCTCTCAGACAAGAGACCTCCAGTAATGTCAGGACTTTGTAGATGGTCTATGGCTTACTCTCAAAGGAACTATGGGGAACACTCACACCCAGACTGGAACTTCCAAGCCTCACATTGAAGACATGCATGCAAATTTTGCTTCTAACTTGTGTTGGAACTAAGGCAAGGTTCTCTACACCTCTGGTCCCATTTGTTTCTGAAGCAAGGACATCAGACTGTAAGACCCAAGACATTTCATCCCAGGGCTTTGTGATGCTGAGTGAATCGGTAAGAACATTCTCGGTGCAACATCCACTGCTTAAAAAACAGAAAACTGCTTAAAACAGCTTTTATCTCCCCAGGTCATTTTGATTTTATTTTAGAAATTTAATTTCAAAGTGAATCTAATTGCCATTTGTTTGTTTTATTGAAACAATGTTTCTAAATCTTTATGGTAGTAACATAGTCTGGTAATTCAAGTCATGTCTACAATGTCTGAGAACCGAAATAAGGGAAGGAGCATTTCTACCTTTTCAACCATTGGTCTTTGCTGTACTGCAAATTCCCTGCTCCCCTAGTCTCTCTGAGAAACATCACAGGTTGTCTCAACCAATATTTACTCTACTGTGCTGAAAGAAAACCCAAAGTAAATAAATCCTCCATTCTATGTCTTGGCACCCCATATTGAATTTCTTTCTGTACCCCTTTTCTTCACACCTCCCAGTCCCTAGCAAACAGTATTTTATTCTTCTGCAAGTCTGACTTACTAGTCCCTTCAATGAGTGAGAAGATGTGATGCTTGCCTGTGTCTAGTTGATCTAATTTAAATACACGCCAGTTCTAAACTTGACAAACAGTCAAAATGGGATTATTTATTGCTTATCTTTGTCAAACCTGGAGGTCTCACTAAAGCAAATTTAAACATATGGTCTGTGTTTTTGTTTTGTTTCGTTTTGTTTTTCGGTGTTTTATTTATTTATTTATTTATTTATTTATTTATTTATTTATTTATTTATTTATTTTTGAGACAGGGTTTCTCTGTGTAGCCCTGGCTATCGTGAAACTCAGTCTGTAGACTCACAGAGATCTGCCTGCCTCTGACTGCCGAGTGCTGGGATTAAAGGCATGTGTCTCCACTGCCAAGCTAGTAAACTCAGTCCTGAAGCCTCCTTGCCCGAGCAGCAGCAACTGCCAAACCTGTCTCCCACGGTGATGCTGTGGCTTAATTACTGACAAACTGGCTGCAGGCTGACTTCTCCAGCTGCCCAAGAGTCTATGCATTAGACACCACACATGCACACAAAACTATGAATATGATAAGCTGCTTCTGCCCGGAAGACATGAAAATTCCTTGGTGTATGATATACTGAAGTCCTTTGTCTTGTCTTAGGACTGGCCAGTGTCAGTCTTAGCAATTAAGTCCTGTTTGCAAGACAATGATTGACTGAAGAAAATCTACTTAGCTCTGTGATGTCTCTGTTCTTACTTGTATTTCTTAAAGAAATACCAATCCAATTTCCTTTTAATCTTAGAAGCCTTTTAAGCCTTGGCGCTGGTGATGTTCTCACACCCCTGTGTTGCTGCTGCCCGTTATCAGTTAGAAAGTAGATTGCCTTGTTTCCTCTCCTTTTATCCAGAGCACCGAGACTACCCCATGGGACCCTCTCCCAGGGCTGAGCCTGGACAGAACAATTGAGTTCAGAAAACACAGTGATGGTGGGTTTGTAACACCTTGGAGTTCAAATACAGCCCCCTCGTCTGTATTGTGGTCTAACGCTCTGGGCTAGGCTTTCGGAAGTGAGGGGTTTGCAGTGAATGAGCCGAGTCTGCTTGCTTTTTGTAGTGCAGTAGAGCTTGGCTCTCTGGTTTCTTGGTTTTTTTTTTTTTTTTTTTTTTTTTTTTTTTGGTTTTTCGAGACAGGGTTTCTCTGTGTAGCTTTGCGCCTTTCCTGGGACTCACTTGGTAGCCCAGGCTGGCCTCGAACTCACAGAGATCCGCCTGGCTCTGCCTCCCGAGTGCTGGGATTAAAGGCGTGTGCCACCACCGCCCGGCGGCTCTCTGGTTTCTTAATTGCTTGTGTTTCTGGTTTCTTAATTGCTCCTTAACCAAGTGAATAGGGGCTTGATACTCATCCTACCACTTCCGGGAAGTTTTTAGTCCTCTAGGGCAGTGGTTCTCAACTTTCCTAATGCTTCGACCCTTTAATACAGTCCCTCATGTTGTGGTGACCCCCAACCATAACATTATTCCATTGCTGCTTCATAGCTGTAATTTTGCCACTGTTATGAATGGTAATATCTGATTTGTGAGTCCGAGGGGCTCGTGACCCACAGGTTGAGTGAGAATTGCTGCTCTAGAGCCTAACTTTCCTGAGCTACCAGGTGAGGACAAGCAGTGTTCACTGTTCAACCTACAGGACACTTGTGAGCGCATGGAGGGATCCCTCCGTCAGCTACACAATGCTGGCTGTGCAGTGCGTGCCATCCCTCTGGGCTCTAGCGTGTCAGGAGGAACTCTGGGCCCGAGCTGGAGAGCAAGGAACCCTGGTCCTACCACAGTCTACCCTTCACTCGGGAGCATCTCTGCAGTTTCCTCCAAAGCTCTCCTGAATGTGCTCAGCGGTCTAGTCAAATGCTCCCTGATGCTTCCCTGTTGTTCTCTGAGCTCGTATTTCTGCTTAAAACCTCACAGTGGCCTTGTAGTATTCTAGAGATTGGAGTTCTCCTGGTCTTAGTCTGAAAGCTCATGTCCTCAGAAACCTGCTCAGTTGGTCAGTAACATTCCAAAATCCAGCAGAGCAAAGGATCTGATCCCAACCACTCACCACTTTTCACCCAATGCCCTTCTCTGTGCTTTGTGAAGACCTGGGGAGGTGTTTGGCTTTTTTTTTTTTTTTTTTTTTTTTTCTTTTTAAGCAAAGTGCTGGCGCCCTGGCCTTGCCTCTCAAGATTCTGAAGTAGAGCCTCTGGCATCTTTTTAAAACTATCCAATGCTCCAAAGTCTGAAGGAGGATGGGGCCCACTACTCTACTCCTGTAGGTCCCCAGAGACCCCAGTGCTGCTCCTGTGGTCAAGCTGACCTCCGTTTTCTTTCCTCTGCCTGCTTTCTGTCTGTTCTCCTTCTGCTCATGCCTCTTCCTCCAGGTAGCCTTCCTGGATCCCTCCCAGTAGACCCAGCCCTCCTCTGGATGCCCTGAGTCTTTTAGGCGAAGCCTTCCTGTCATTCTGCACGGTGCTTGTGGTTTACTACAATCTTTCCCTCATCAGGTTTGAGTCTGTTTCAGGAAGAGATGGTTATCTTCTCTCCTTGTACCCGTGGAGCCAGGCAGGCTCTGGCATGTTGCATTCACTCAGTAAATATTCATCGAACAAATTAATCAAGACAAGGCCATCTGACCTCTTGTGAGTTACATTCTAAGAGTCATGGACACAAAACTCTCAGTGTAAAACAAAATACCAGTACAATATAATTACTTCAGCAAGTCTCTGCAAGTGAGGACCCCTAAATCCATCTCAGAGAAATCCTTAATTTTGTTCTTTTATAGCTCTCTCTCCCTCCCCTTTCCCCCCACCCAAGAGGAGAAAAGGGACATTGGGGTAATTCCACTTTCTCCTCGTCGTAAAGTTGGAAATGAAAATGAGTTCTCAGATGCAACCATTTTGGCTGTTTCTCTGCTTTCTTCTTCCTGGTTCGTCCCTCAGCTGGCTGGCCTGTGCATGTTTGGAGAGAGCCAGGAAAGTTCAACGCCAGCAATGCTTCTCTCTTTAAAAGTCTTTTATCCTCAGGCTTTCTGATCTTCAAAGCAGACTATGTCCACCGTGACCCCACTCCCTTGCCTCCCCATGCTGGGGAGTGAGCGGCTTGAGGATTTGTGTCATTTTGACGACTTGCATATTTGGACCGCCTTGGACAGCTGGGGTAGCACGGTCTCTGTTAACTCTTCGGGGATAAGGGCCTGCCACCATTTCTAGGACCCTTGCACCCCTGAACCTAGTCACATGAAGAAATTAATGCCAGACCCTGGAGTCAAACAATTATTAGGTACACAGGTCTTTTTGTGGGGGACCTGTCCCTTGGCTAGTAGAGTTTCCTCCGCCTCTCGGTTTGGAATTAAGTCTCCACCTCTCTACACCTTTGTGATTATCTGCAGTGCCTGGTCCTGGATAAGTTTGAAAGCTATGATGATGAAGCTCAGCTCATCCAACGAGCCCTGTCTCTCCTGGAGGAAAACAGGTTCTGGGCTGGAGTGGTATTCCCTGACATGTATCCCTGGACCAGCTCCCTACCTCCCCACGTGAAGTACAAGATTCGGATGGACATAGATGTGGTAGAGAAGACCAATAAGATCAAAGACAGGTGAGGACGGTTCAGTTTGGGTTTGCAGGGTTTCTCCCAAATGCACGGGGAATTATATTTGGTAGAGTGGAGGATTAAGTGTAAACGCAGCCTATAAATCAAAGGAAGGTCAATTAAATGGGTGGAGGTATGATTTGAGCAGATCCAAGTAGATAGAGCAATCACCTTGTGACTCAGAGTCATTCCTGAGTTAATACTGTGATCCAAAGTAGGACTAGATAGTCTGGGAACATTTAGGACAATGGTTCTCAAGCTGTGGGTCGCCATCCCTTTGGAGGTCGAACAACCTTTTCACAGGGGTTGTATATCAGATATCTCACGTATCAGATACTTACATTATGATTCATAACGGTCGCAAAATTAGAGTTAAGAAGTAGCAACAAAAATAATTGTGTGGTTGGGGTTACCACAACACGAGGAACTGTATTAAAGGGTCGTCTCATTAGGAAGGTTGAGAACCACGGATTTAGGAGACTGTTTCAAGAGACTGAGTTCTAAGGTAAGTTGGGCTCATAAAGTGAGTGGGGTGCCCATCCCCACTTACATCCTTTCTCCCTTCATCCTGTGTCTTTTTAGGTACTGGGATTCTGGTCCTAGGGCGGATCCTGTGGAAGACCTCCGGTACATCTGGGGAGGCTTTGCCTATCTACAGGACATGGTTGAACATGGAATCACAAGGAGTCAGACCCAGGCAGAGGTTCCCATTGGAATCTACCTCCAGCAGATGCCTTATCCTTGCTTTGTGGATGACTCGTGAGTCCCAGGCCTCAATCATCCTCCCTGAGCTGAAGTAAACAGGGGTGCTCTCAAGGCTTCAGTGTCTCCTGTAGGAACCTCAGGAACTGGGACCAGACTGGGGGGAGAAGGGTTCTAACTGAAGAAGCTGCTAGCCCCATACTGCAGACAGAAGCAGAGGAAAAAGAAAAGTAGGGTGCTGGGGTACACAAGGGGCGTTGAAGGTTAAACAGTAGGAGTTGAGGTTGAAGGAGGGATGCCGGCTGTTTAAATTTCCACTCCGCAGTATGTTTGGTATGTGAAAGGGTTAGGGTCAGAGCGTTTGCCCACTGATTGCCAGATCAGCAGATTTGAACTGCATGGCAAGTAGGTCTGGTTCCCAGGAGCCTCAGAATAATGCAGCTCCTTCCCTAATTAACATTCCTATGATGTATGTTTGGTGAAAAGGTAGAGGAATGTTGGATGAGCTCTGGCCTCCTTCTCTGACCTCCCCCGTCCTAAAGCCTGTCCATCTGTTGGCTAGTAGCATGGTAAGCAAACAGCCTACTGTTTTGTTGAAACTAGATTTTTGGAGTGGTGGAGGAAGGGACAGAGAAGAAGAGGTAGGTGCTCAGAAGGCCGATTACCATGGTAGATGGGGTCGGAAACACTCCCGAGCTATAACACTCCCAGGAATTTAGCTCCTGGGGTGTCGGGAACACTGGGTAACTCACTGTAGCCCTTGTGTGTGGCTGTGGGGTTCAGGAAGCAGAGACAGCAAAACGTAAAGGAAAGAGGCCAGTTGCCAGATGGAGAGGTTGTAAAATAAAGCCTAGCGTGCGTACAGGAAAGCAGCTCTCAACGCTGTGGCCCATCAGTTCTCCAGATCCATGGAAGGCGGCAGAGATAACAGTGGCTGGTGAGCCATTAGTTTTCCTCTGGATAAGAAGCAGAGATGAGAAGTAGAGCCAAGGGCAAAAGCCCAGGTCCACTTTCGGGTTAGAAGGGGAGGAGCTGGCAGGGAAATAAGTGGGTGTGGAGAGGCAGCAGGAATTAGGGTCATTCAATATGGGAGAGTCCTCTGGCGGCCAGCTCTAGAAGTACATGCTTTTTGATTGTTGGGCTCTCCCCCTAGGGCCATTTTGAGTGAAACTATCCTCCCACGCTGGCATTGGGCCCTTCCTGTGACAACACCCAACAGTTTCAATAGATAATCCCAAGGGCTTTACTAGTGCATCATCCCCAGGGAAAACCTGGAAAGCTAACCCTAACTTGATTCCTTCCTGTCAAATCCATCTTGCTTGCTGAGAACGTATCCCAGGATGGATCTACTCCGTGTATTCATGGCTGATGGAATCAGGGACTATTGAGTCTCTGATTTGTCCCAACCACAACCTATGGCAACCGGTCTACAGTCTTTCCCATGAGCCTTTACAGGGAAGGTCTATGCTATATAACAGAGATGGTATGGTTTTCTTCCTTCATTTTCTGTATAGAGCATTCATCTGGGCTGTCTGGAAAGACACCATCTTGCTCTAAAGAAAAAGTGGCTAATGTGAAAGGTATTTTTAAAAGTCCAACCTAGTGAAGGTCCCATGATTTATTTTTCTGATTTCCTTTCCTTTCCTCCGGACTTCCTTTTCAACTCTTCACTCAGTAAATATTTACTTCGTCTCTGCCAGGCCCAGAATGCTCTGTTCTCCTTCCTTTCTCTCACTTTAGTTTTATGATCATCCTGAACCGCTGTTTCCCCATCTTCATGGTGCTGGCATGGATCTACTCCGTCTCCATGACTGTTAAGGGCATTGTCTTGGAAAAGGAACTGAGGCTGAAGGAGACCTTGAAAAACCAGGGTGTCTCTAATGCTGTGATTTGGTGTACCTGGTTCCTGGACAGCTTCTCCATCATGTCAATGAGCATCTTTCTCCTGACACTGTTCATCATGGTAAGCCCGGTGAAGAAGACCCTGACATTTTAAAAATGGTTCCATTGTTCCTGCCCTCCTCCGGTTAATGTGTGTGTGCCTGGACAAGTTATCTGAGCAAGACAGGTAGCTTCCCAGCTTTTCCAACCAGGTAGGACACTTGGAGAGCCAGCTTCCCATCCCCCTCAAAAGAGCCATTGTATGGTGGCATCTTCCCATATTCCTCTTCTAAGTGTCACTCACTGCCTACATAGATTTCCAGTCCATTTCATGACCACTTAGAGAGGCTGCTGTTACCAAAGCCCAGTATGGGACTGTTGTGCATTCAAACGTTGCCTCTTCTTTAAAAGACAAGCATGAGTCTAAAGAGAGTTTCTTAGAATTATCGTTCCAATATCTGGCTACAGTTAGAATGAGGTAAACACCGCCAGTGGTATGAGGGAAAAAATCTGGATAATTTGTCTATCATCCCCATGGCCAGGCCATTAGCTTCACCAAGTAACATCCTTTTGGCGGCAAAGATCTCTCAGGACTCTGTTTTAAAGGATGGAATTTGGAGCCCAACCTTTCTCAGGGATAAGGAGTTTGTATTGCCATAAAGCCTGTCATGCTATCTTCTGCAAGTCCTCGACTCCTCTGCAAGCTAGAACTGAAAATAAAACACCATTCCACAATATACTGCTAGCCTGTACAGTGCATATTTTTAGCTCCTTCATAGAAGAAACTTTTTTTGGACTTGTTGAAATATGACTCTACACACATTTGATAATTTTTGATGTTTTATTGGATGGAAGTTGGTTCCTGCTATCGGTTCAGCAAGCTTGTTCAACTTCGTCGCTGTCCTCACATCGGGCGACATGGCAGTGGGCTGGATGGGATGAGTGTCTCCCGTCCCATGTTGGATCGTGGCTACCTGACCTAAGAATGTCCCATCATAGATCCAACTCACCAGTTGCATATTCATTTAATCCAAATCCTGCCTTTGTTCTCTACTAAAATATCCTCCACCTCGTGCCTTCTGTCTTTGCTATTACACCATGACCCAGTGAGCCCTGGTGTGAATCAAACTCCATGTTAGAGTCCCCTCAAAACCAATGTGGAGGTGGAGGTCATTCTCTTCAAACAACCTCACCCCACCCAGCACGGCTTGATGTCTACAAAGGATACCAAAGTTCTGAGGAGGTGAAAGGAGCAATCACTCGCTCCTTATCCACCAGAGGCCCTCTGCTCTGCCCCATACCTTAGCCTGTCCCTCTCCCCAGCAGATGTTTTGTATCCTTAGAATTAAAGGACTCGGGGAGTAAACATCTGGATGAATGGCGGAGGCTTGCCCTGACTTCTTACTGATAAGTGACACTGAGATCTGCCTTCCTAAGAATGGGTGTTTAGGACTTCAAAGCTTTCAGGACGTGAGGTAAAGAATGTTCACCCAGAGCTTCTAGCACAGAGAAGCTCCTCCTTGTGGGAACCAGGACACCGTCCCAATAATGACGGAAACAGAACTTTCCACACCAAAATAAGGTTTTCCTTTGAATGAGTCCCTGTTTTTTTGCGTATCCCTTCCTCCCCGGCACCGCTGTGCAGGAAAGAAGCTGGGGACAGGGACAATGGGAAGGCTCCATTGTTAGTCAGCCTCCAAGGAGCAGAGAGGGAAGTGGCTAGTGGAGGAAGCTGGGTCGGGAAATGGCGAGGCTGGCTGAGTGACTGGCACCCCTCTTTGAAAACCACCCGAAAGCCCACAGTCCAGATGTTTGCAGGACTTTGCTCTGGGCTCAGACTAGAAGTTGAATTCATTCTACAGAGAGCAGTAACAACTCTCCAATTGTGACCTTTTTTTTTTTAGATTTCCTCAGACTTAGGTTCGCTTCAAGTGTGGCTCCTGTCCATCCTTCCCTTTTGCATATCTTCCCCTCATCTCTTTTTCAATCTGTTCCTTCAATGCCCAACAGGCATGAGAGCATGAAGGAGAATTGGCAGCTGTGGGAGATAAGGAGCACATTAGTTCCACTTGGTTCTCACTGGCTCAGGACAGACAGCATTAATTGGTCTCTCTCTTTTCTACTGAGAGGAAAGCAGTGATTCAGGGAGTCCCTCTCCGTAGATGAGAGCCCATTCATGAGATGGGGCAGTTCTAAAAGATGGAAGAACACGGAGAAAAACGCAGGAAGGAGGAGAGCACAAGGACTTTGGGTTTCGGGGGTGCTATGCTGTGTGACATGCCTGTGTCCTTCATTACACCACAACTCAGCTATGTCCCATTGAATAGATGGAGGTGGTCAAGTGAGTATCAACTCTGAGGCCTGAGACACACTCCCAGAATTCGACTGCCTGTACCTTTGTGTTCCTGAGAAAAGAATGGGAGGAACTCTATGTATTTGGGAATGCAGAATTTGGATGGAGCAACAATGCTGGCCTCTTTACAGGGCTTTAGTAAAGGAGATGAAGAAGGTCTAACGCAGTTGAACATCTCGGTTTATTTTACAGTGTAATCGGGCAGCAGCTTGTTCAGAAAAAGTCACTAGTTTGTCACTTTTTCCTACATAGACAATGGGGAAGACACTGAGTCTTGTCCATAGGTTCTCTGAAAAGCACAGCCTTCATGGATGAGGAGGACCAGTCCGCTTCCAAAGGCTCTGGGTCCATTACTGATGCCTCCACCTGTGTGAGCGGCAGACCTCAGGAAGCAGGCGCTGATGGTCAGGCAAAGGGTCAGGCTTGTTTGAATGGACTTCCCTTTGTGGTTGCAGGGTGCTGGTGATACCGTAAGACCTAACACCAGGTCTTCCTTGCCTGAACACGATGTCCTTCCCACCGTGAACTTGCTGAGTTGACCCATAATTACTGTCAAAGGATAAACTTGGGCACATTAAGATTTTTTTAAATATTTTTATGCTTTGAAAGTTTCATACATTTCTACAGTATTGATAATATCCATCTACTACCCGCCTCCAGCCCTCCTTAGTGCACCGCATTCCATGTCCCTCCCAGCTTCACGTCCTCTTCTCTTTTTTATTTTACTTTTATGTAATATTCCTGAGTCTACTTAGTGATACCTATATGCACATGGACGTGTGAACTTCCACTGGGACATGAATGACCCACCAGCAGCCAGACCCCCAAAGGACAGTGACTGACCTTCTCTCAGTATCCCTCACTGCCAGTAGCTCTTCTGATGGGGTGGGCCCTCTGGGTCCCTTCCCCATCCATGCTGGAACGTTGACTGTCTCGGTCTTGTGTAGGGATCCACAGCCCCTGTGTGGTAATATGTGCAACAGCCTCATCATCTCCAGAAGACACTTCACAGTTCTCTCCATCAGCCAACTCTTCCATTCCTCACATCCCCTCAGCCATGAAGTTCCCTGAGCCTCGGACAGTGGGGGGTTGATAGACGACCCACCCACAGCTGAGCACTCAGAGTTATTTATACTTGGAACATTGACCAGTTATGAGTCTCGGCATTAGCCACTTACCCACAGCAAAGGAAGCTTTTCAGACCAAAGCTGAGGGCAACATAAATCTACAGCTATAAACTTAAGTATTTCGAACACAGTTTGATAAAAATGACCTCTTATGAAAATGATAGTAGGTTCTTACCCTAGGCCCTATTCCCACCCCATCATGGGCTTTTGACCAGTTTTATAGTGCCAAACATCAGTGGTTCGTGACCCAGGCAACTCTAGGCCACATGTGGCTCAGGACTCCACTAAAGGAATGGGGAATTCTGCATGACAAAGAAAGTTTCCATTGGTTAAAGTCTCCACTTCGAGGTTAGTTGGCAATTGCTGACTGGGTTAAATTACTTGGCTGTTGGGTTTGGGTTTACTGGTTTAGGAGTCCAGAACACTGGAGCTGACTCAGCCTAATGGTTTCCCAGTTAAGTTTTCTAAAATAAAACATTAGTGTTGCCTAATGGGCATGGGCAAGACAAAAGAACTCAGTGCGTTTGAGTGTGCACGCGGAAGTTCAAACACTAGCAACCGGCTGCAGGAGCCCCTTCTTGGGCAGCAGAAGGCTTCCGAAGGCCTCGTTGCACACGGGAAGCCCCTTGAGTGGGCCCCCGCCTCTGGGCACGAGTGAGAATTATTGATACCTGATCTCTTTGGTTTCAGCACGGGAGAATCCTCCACTACAGCGACCCCTTCATCCTCTTCCTGTTTCTGCTGGCCTTCTCCACGGCCACGATCATGCAGTGCTTCCTGCTCAGCACGTTCTTCTCCAAGGCCAGCCTCGCAGCAGCCTGCAGTGGGGTCATCTACTTCACCCTCTACCTACCACACATTCTCTGCTTTGCCTGGCAGGACCGGCTGACGGCCGACCTGAAGACGGTTGTGGTGAGGCCCGAGGGCTTAACCCTAGCCTGTCCTGTAGATTTCCCCTGACGACTCTGGTAGCCTCGTGATCTGCTCTCTGAGAAGATCCGCTTTGCCTTTGGACTCAAGAGGACATAAGATTGAAAGGCTAATACAGAGGTTAGGAGCCAGAGTGAAAGCAGCTTTCCCCGGAGTCATGAAGTAGTAACGCCTCCCTAGACCTGCTTGAGGAATATGCCCTGGGAAAGGACTGGAGAACCAGGTCAGCTCCTGGCTTCCTTTGCTTCTGTGTGAGAGGGGAGCCGGCCAGCCCATCCCTTCACCCTTCTTTTCTTCCTGCTTGAGGAGAATCAGATGAGAGGAAGCTTGCCCCCCCCCCCACCCTTACTGCCTGTCCGCTCAGAAAGAAGGTTGCATCTGCTCAAACGGGGCTCGTTTTTCCAAAAGAAACTGGATCAGAGAATCTCAGTCTTTCCTGTGCTCTAACAGTGCACACAGAATTGGATGCAGAAATGAGCCCCCACCATTAGCTCTCTGGCTGAGAGAAGACTCTAGAAGCTGGCTGTTGATGCCTTGAGAGACCTCTTAGTTCAGGATTCCCAAATAAATATAGGTCTGTTTTCTAATGGTTTTCAAATGGGCCATTTCTACCCTCTCATTAGGCAGTACTAATCAGCCTCAGCCCTACAGGGTGCAGTTTTCTGGCCCTCCAGAATCTCCCTGTCCCTGTTACGTCAGTAAGGACTACTGCCTGCCTCTCTGCTGGCAGAACCTGTTCTTAGGACTCCAACTCTGGTGCATCTGCCTTTTATTATTTCTCATGTTAAATAAGAAGTTAATTGCCCCTATTTATAGCACTTAGTTTTCTAAGATGGTCACAATGGGTAATAGTAAGAAACTCTTGTGACTCAGGCTGTGGGCAGAGCTGGGCAATTTTGGTAATCGTCAGGTTGTTATATGGTACTGGGAAGCCACAGTTAGCTTCTTGGACCTACCAGGAAGCTTCAGGTCTGGCAACGACAGATAAGAGCTGGGTTGAGTTAATTTTAAGTGTGTGTGTGTGTGTGTGTGTGTGTGTGTGTGTGTACATATAGCAAGAGGGTTTCTTGCTTTGGTGAGAGATAGTCTGAACTCTATCCAGGGTCCTCCAAATTACAGGGAACCTTCTGGCAAGGGCAAGTACGCTCTGATGTGTCAGAGGCCACCCATGGCGACTTGGCGGGGCACTCTCTTCAGATTTCCTGCTGCACTCTTTCTAGCCAGCGGACTACTTTCTGCACAGAGGACCTTGCGTCCTTGCTGGCCATAGGAAAATGGGAACTTTGAGCCCCTTTCTTGCGGGAGTCTCACAAAGTAGCTCATTTGGCATTTTCATTCTGCCCAGAGCTGTGTGGTTTTCAGATAGTGGAAGGCAGAGGGGGAGGGAGAAGGGAGACCAGGAGGACCTTCATTCCTTCGGAGTCTTGTATGTGGACCACTTCTTCACCAGCATCCCCTTACAGCCTAGCTGTATTCTATGGAACAGGTGAGAGGTGGCTCACGGGGCACAGGTGGGGATTTCTGAGGCCTGCCAGGCATTTCCGGAATTCTCTTCCCACCAGAAGACCCCTGTAAGCCCTCCCTGAGTAGCCTCGCTCTCAGACACAACACAGACCCTCTTGGGCCCTCCTCCCTCCCCCGCCTCGTGGACGCCTGGGCTCCGCTGTCCTCTCCCTCCATTTCTGTCCCTCTCCGCTCACTACAGAGCCTGCTTTCTCCCGTGGCCTTCGGCTTTGGCACCGAGTACCTGGTCCGCTTCGAGGAGCAAGGCCTGGGGCTGCAGTGGGACAACATTGGGAAGAGTCCCATGGAAGGGGATGAGTTCAGTTTCCTGCTGTCCATGGAGATGATGCTTCTTGACGCCGCTCTGTACGGGTTGCTTGCCTGGTACCTTGACCAGGTTTTCCCAGGTAAGCAAGGAAAAGTCAGGCTGCTTCATGTCCCATGGTCCAGGGAATGCATTTCTTCAGATGCATAGGTCTGGCCCAATCTTCTTGTTTAAGCTTGATTCCCCCCCCAACCCCACCACCACCACACACACACACACACACACACACACACACACACACAAGCTCTCAGGGACAGCAGCTGAATTTACGTCTAGAAGTTAAAACTCCACCAGCAAATTATTGTCTCCCCTTTAGAAATAGGTCTAGCATTGGAGCTGGGGAGAAGGCTCAGTAGGTAAAAGTACTCTCTGTGCAAGCATGAGGACCTGAGTTCGAATCCCCATAACCCACATAAAAGTTGGGCATGTCTGCAAGTGACTGTAACCCTAACATTGGGAAATGGAGACAAGTGGATCCCAGGAACTCTTTAGCCAGCCAACCTGGTCAGGACAGCAAGCTTCCAGTTCAGCAAATGATCCTGCCTCAAAGGTCTCAAGTGTGGAGTCATAAAGGAAGGCAGCTCCTCTAGCCTCTGCATACATGCTCATGAGTGTGCATACCCACACACATGTGTGTGTTCACCATACACTTGTATGCACGTGCGTGCGTGCGTGCGTGTGCACACACACAGACAGGCAGGGAGAGAGGAGACTGGGAAACAGGTCTAGAACCGGCTTCCTGGTCACCACCGACCCACCTTCCCATTCCAAGCCTCCTTCCACCATGACCACCGAGTCCTCACGGTATGCAGATGGAGTGTTTGGCAATCCCACCATGACCGCCTTGTCCTCCTCACAGTAGGCAGAAGGTGTGTTTTGCAATCTAGGCCAGATGGTCTCAACCTCTGTTCAGATCCCTTCATGGTCCTTTCTCCTCATTCAGAGTGAAACCCAGCGTCCCAACTCAGGGGCTACCAATGCTTCCTCATCCGCCTTTCCGCTACCCCCCTTTCTGCGTCTCCTGTTTGCCCTCCCCCCGCTAAGTCTCTCAGCTCCCGCCACCACAGCCTCCCCACCAATGTTCAGCACATGAGCACACTTCCAGGGCTGGACCTTCACACCTGCTGTTTTCACCAGCAGGGCCTTTCACCCCAGGCTATCCCTCCTATCTCCTGGCTTCCTCACTCCACTCAGGTCTCTGTTCAAATGTCACTTTATCACAGGGATCTTTCTAGACTGAAGATTACTGGGTCTTTATCATTGTATGACCAATATTCCCTCCGGGGCCCTAACCTTTTACCCCACTTTTTTATTCATTTATTTTTTTTTTTTAGCACTCCTCACCACCTGACATGATGTAACCTTATGTATGTGTTTATCATCTTACCACCCTTCCTAGGGTACGAGCCCACGAGAGCAGGCACATGGCCTGTTTATTTCTCAGCGACAGCCTGGAAGCCCTGTCTACTGCTTGGTCTTTCATAGACACCGAATCACTATCTAACTTACCTGAAGCCTAGAAAATCAGCTACTGGATCAGAATTAGCTATTTGCAAAGTTTTGTATCTGCTTCGCAGACACTCAGATTTTCCTTCACATTAGCATTTTTCTATAGCTGGAGAAGTCCCCTCTTCATCTGAATGGCCTCCACATCAGCCTTCACTGTACAGTGACATCTGGGTCTAGCTCTTGATGCCCTGGACAAAGCAGACAGGGAAGAGTGAGGATGGGCCCGAAAGAACAAGCTCATGGTCCTCAGAAAGAAGCAGGTGGGACCAGGTATGGTAGACTGTGAGTTCGAGTACAGCCTGGGTTACAGCGAGACCCTGTCAGAAACAGAGAACCCATCAATCAAACAACACAAATGTGCAGCAATCCTGGCTGGGAAAAGGTGGCTAGGCTAAGTCCAGAGGCTTGGGTCTCTGTCCCACCTGAAGGAGGATGTGTTTCTAGCGATGCTATAACAAGGACTATGAATAGTATGGCTTAAAATAATAGAGTTGTTGGGTTTTGTTTTTTTTAATCTCATTGTCTGAAAGCTAGAAATCAAAAATGAAGCTGCTGGGAAGGCCATGCTGCCTATAAAACCAAGCTTCTGGAGGATTTTGATCCTCTGGCTTCCCTGACTTCAGGCACATCACTCCAATCCTCCATCTTCACGTGGCATTTTCCCCGTGTGCTGGTCTCCATGAGGCTGTCTTATGAGGACTCTATGTGGTCACCCTACTCCAGTATAACCCCACCTAACTTAACTAAGCACATCTACCTTCTAAATAATGCCACATTTGAGATATGAGGTTGGGACTCTGGTTTGGACACTAAATGGGTGTTTTCTCAAACACCATCAAATTCCCGGTCACTAACCATTGAATTCCACTCTGAGACGATCCAGAGTTAGAGGCAATCCTGTAAGACCTCCCTCCGTTCAGATGCTAACACTTTACAAAGTGCTCTCTTTTCAATTACGGCGTTATTGTTACGGGTATAACTCAAGAACAGCCATAAGGTGAGGAATGGGGACAGGGATGAAATGGTCTGGAGCAGCCTTCTCTGGACCACCACCGACCAGCACTGAAATGTGGTCGCCAGTCCAGAATCTCTTCAAATCCTCTTCCTGAGGTTCTGGAGTTGTCTGCCGCCCCTTAATCTCTGGAGATCAGAGAGATTGGGCTGAAAGTTTTCTCTCTTCGCATTTTGTCTTTCTGGTGAGCAACACCCAAATGTGACACGATCTTGCTGCTCCCCTATGAGCCATCTCAATAGCATGAGCTTAGACACAGTAGAAAAAAAAAATTCCATGAATAACAAAGAAAAGTACTCATTACTTGGGAAATTTCAAGGGCAGTAGAGCTCTGTGGCTGGCACTGAACTGGGAACAACGACCACATATACTTTATATGGTATCACTGACATCAACATTGACCCCTGCTTGGAGAGGGACACAGTTCCACCTATGACAGTGACCTGAGCAAGACACTTGAACTTACTCAGCCTGTTTTTTGTTTGTTTGTTTGTGTCCCTGGAAAGAGATCTAATAACTGAAAATTAGTTGGGTTGGAATAGGGATTTGTACATTATTTTAGCCAAGCTAAAGTTCTCATTTCATCAACAACTGTGTGCTGAGCAGCCCCTGTGTGGCCACGTTCTGGGAACCAGGACATTTAGAAAAGACAGATCTGGGGCTGAGGATGTAGTTCAGTGGTGGAGCGCTTGTTTGGTATGCACAATGTCCTCGGACCCATCTTAGCACAGAGGACAAAGAAGGCCCACGTGGGCTGGGAGATGACTCCATGGACAAAATCTTTCACCACACCTGATGACCTGAGCTCAGCTTCCCAACCCACATTAAAAAGCCAAGTACACATCGGCACACGTCGGCACACATTGGTAACCCAAGCAGTCCTATGGGAAATGGTAGGAGGGGACCCGAGACGGTGCAGGAAGTGGTGGTGGGGCAGACTATGTCTTAAAACACAGTAGAAAGATAGAATGGGTGACTGAAAAATCACCTCCGACCTCCAGATGTGCATGGTGGCATGTGAACCTATGAAAAAAAATTAACAAAATGGCTGCCAAGCAGTGTTTAACACACACACACTAAATAAAACTTGAAAGAAAACAAAATATCCAGGCTTCCCTTGAATCAGTCTCGCAGTGACGAAAGCCATGACTATTTCAAAAGCAATGAGGGCCATAGAGGTGTCTCAGTCAAGAACCAGCATGGAGGGCCATAGAGGTGTCTCAGTCAAGAACCAGCACGCACTGCTCCTCCAGAGGACGCACGTTCAGTTCCCAGCATCAATTTCAGGTGGCTCACAACACTCTACAACTCCAACTCCAGGGGATCTGACCCTTTAGGCCTCAGAGTGCACCTACACTCACATAAATATACTCACATGTAGACATATATATCCACACACAATTTTAAAAATGTAAGGGAAAAATAAGCAACGTCCATGTTTTTATTTAAAAAAAAAAATCAACAATTTTTTTTTCTGTTTTTTCTAGACAGAGTTTTCCTGTGTAGCCCTGGCTGTCCTGGAACTCACTCTGTAGATCAGGCTGGCCTTGAACTCACAGAGATCCACTTGCCTCTGTCTCCCGAGTGCTGGAATTAAAGGTGTACACACCATCTCCTGGAAAAAACCAACATTTTAAGGGGAACAAAAGTTACAAAGAGAACTGAACCAGGAAGTTGGGAGCTGTAGCTAGAGTTTTCCTGCCTGGCCCAAAGTCAAGACAAATCTCTGTCACCCGCCAGTCCCACAGCTGCTCAGACCCAACCAAGTAAACACAGAGACTTATATTAGTTACAAACTGTATGGCTGTGGCAGGCTTCTTGCTAACTGTTCTTATATCTTAAGTTAATCCATTTCTATAAATCTATACCTTGCCACGTGGCTTGTGGCTTACTGGCATCTTCACATGCGGCTTGTCATGGCGGCGGCTGGCAGTGTGTCTCTGACTCAGCCTTCCACTTCCCAGAATTCTCCTCTCTCCTTGTCCCATCTACTTCCTGCCTGGCCACTGGCCAATCAGTGTTTTATTTATTGACCAATCAGAGCAATTTGACATACAGACCATCCCACAGCAGGGAGCCTTTTCCCTTCAAACATAGCTGAATCCAGGAGAATGTGGGGAGTTAGAACGGTGACATTGGAACCCAATTGCCTGTGTTAGAATTCTCCCATTTTCACGTAATTAGCTATGGACTGGGGCAGACGGCTCAAAGTTAGTGCTCCTCAGTTTCTGCATCCTTTAGACTAATATTACCACCCAACTCCTAGGGTTGTTTTCAGAATTCAGTGATGTAACTTATGGGAAGTATAAAATATGCCCGTTACATAAATAGAGTCCAGCAAATGTTTGTGATCAGCAATATTATTGTTTTCTGGTAACTGCTAAAAAATGGCATGATTTAATTCTTTAATAACATTTATTTCTTGGAAAACTGATGTCAACCAAGATCATCATTGTTAATGTTGTTGGTAACACCCAAAAAAACCACCATGGTGTTTTGATTATAAACTAACTGAAAGAAGCAGTCTGTCTGGTAGCCTGTGGGTCACCACATAATGACTTGGGACTATCGATACCTGGAGCTATAATTTGAGATTTGGATTGGGTATATCATAGAGCTTACATGATGTGAGGGGATGGGGCTCACTGTTTTCTCTTTCTTTGCGTTCCTGTTCTCAGGAGACTATGGAACGCCCCTCCCCTGGTACTTCCTCCTACAGGAGTCTTACTGGCTTGGAGGTGAAGGTAAGTTGGGCTTTTTTGTTGTTGCTTTTTTTTGTTTTTGTTGTTGTTGTTTTTACATTAAAACAGCCAGGTGGTGGTCGCACATGACTTTAATCCCAGCACTCAGGAGGCAGAGGCTCTGTGAGTTTGAGGCCAGTCTACTCTACAGAGTAAGCTCCAGGACAGCTGGAGCTACACAGAGAAACCCTGTCTCAAAAAACCAAAAAAAAACCCAAAACAAAATGACAATAACAGAAATGCTTCAGGATTGAAACTAGTTCCTTGGGGGTATGAACAAGACGTGTGGAAGGTGCCAAGGGGGCCCTTTATGTCAAGTGCGTGATTCCTGCCGCCTGATTCCTGCGGTGGGCCAGCGGGACAGTACAGCATAACGGCCCCCACAAGCTTGCCTTTGATGAATCACAGAGCCAGAGCGAAAGGCAGAAAGTCGACAGTTCGTCCCGGGGGGTGTGACATGCCTGTTGAAAGGGGGTTGCACCATTTCAGGAGTCAAATATCTTTCTCTTACCTTGAAAGCAGAGATCCAGGAATCATGAAGGGAGCTTTGCCTTCATCCTTAGCTCCCCACCTCCTCCTCAGCCATCATCCTCCACACTCTGGAAACACACAGTAATTTACTCTCTGAAGACCAGGCAGAAGCTGCACTGCTGACCCCCCAAGGCGGACACTACCACGGCTCTCTGGCTGGAGAAGGAAGCCAAAAGGACATTTGCTGACAGGGCCTCTGAAATACAATTTGTCTCTCTTCCTAAACAAAGCAGGAGGCCAAGAGAGTTCTGGAAATCATAAGACAACCCTCAGATCATAGTCTTTTGGAGTTCTGAGAAGGCAGAGAAGCTATAGGGCTATGGGCCACAGTCTTCCCTATAACTGGGAGGTTCAGGAAGGAAAAAAACGCTTTCAAGGGTTCGAACTCACCTCTCACCTATCCACACTTCGTTTTGAACTACTTACTACCCCTGGGCTAGGGTTTATCAATCCTTTAAGCACTAACACAAGTATTTAGTTCTTTAGGGGCTTAATCTGGAGTCTTTAAAAGGCTTGTATGGATTTTTGTTTGACATTTTAAGGGTTCCCCCCCCTCAGTTATTTTTCTCTGTATACATTTTTGGTAGTTCAAGCAGTGTTTTGACAGCCCAATGTTTTTCCATTATATTGTTTATGCATCGTGTGTATCTACAAACCTTTAAACGTCTCTGTAATAAAGTAATCAGCCCATCATAAATAGGAATGTTTAACACAGGAGTACCCCTGGAATGTTCTTAATGTCAGTGAACATCAGGGGTCATGTTCTCTTGTCCCCTCTATTATCCCAAGAGGTACTCTGCTATTCAAGAAAAAAAAAATCCTGAGAAACGTGTTCCTTGAAAATGAGACACATACACTTTTGCTGACAGAAGGGAAATATTTTTCACCTGTCTCATAGGCTAGACGAAATTCAATCCCTCACACTATCTAGATCAGAAAGCGGAGGAGTCACTCCCCAGGTCCTCTTTTCATAGACACAGAAATGGAGCCCCAGAGACATCCATTCCTTACAGAAATCCCACGGGACACAAGGGACAGAATCGAGACCATTTCCCAATAAGGAAGTCACTCCAGTGGTTATTTGGAAAGATATTTGTTCTGGCTGCTTTATTCCACCCGAGGACAGTGTGCTAGCGATATGCTGACCTCAGGAACTGTGGAACATAGACTCAAAACTGCTTCAGGAAGTGGAGTCAGAAGCAGAGCAGGCAGCACATCTCTGAACTACTCAGCCTCAGCCTGCTGCTCCCTCACGCCCTGCAAATGTAGAGGCCCTGGTGGCTCACACTGAGAAGACCCACAGATGCTTGCCCCTCTGTGCTTGAACCAGGGCCCTAAGGGCTCGGTGCTGGTGGCTTCCTCTTGTTCCTGCTTCCTCTCTGGCTGGATGGCCTTCCTGCTTCTTCCCTTCCCAGGATGTCCTTGACACCCTTTTAGACCAAATGCCAATTTAAAAAAAAAAAATCCATTGTACATGTGCCTGTGTGTGTGTGTGCGCGCGCGCGTGTGCGTGTGCGTGTGCGTGCGTGCGTGCGTGTGTGTGTGTGTGGGGGGGGGTATCACCCTTCACAATCCTGAACGCCCACCAACTCCATCCTGGTGTTAACCTCAAGATTCCTGAATGCCCAAATAAGCGGCTTTCTCAAGAGAGCTGATTTAAGATAACAACCCATCCTTTCACTATAGATGGATTTTTTTGCTCAAGGTTCCCATGACTGACATGTTTTAGGTTGGAGCAAAAAAGGACCAGGTGGCAGGCTAAAGAAAATTAGCCCATTCCAAATTTAACCCTGAGGCAGATTTTTTTATTTGTCTGGTTTTTTTTGTTGTTGTTGTTGGTTTTTGTTTTTGTTTTTTTAAATCACAATTTCTGACATGGGAAGCCTAGCACATTAAAAGGAAGAGGTTAGAGTTGGGAGTGTGACTTGGTGGTAGAGTGCTTGCCTAGCATGCGTGAAATTCTGAGTTTGATTCCTGGCTCCCCCTAAAAACAAACACCAGACTAAATGGAAACTCCCCGGCTCCAAGGCTCCAATTACAGAAGTCCCCCTGGGCCGATGAAGACAGGGCAATCAGCTCTGAGTACCCCGGGGCCTGGCAGCAGGTCAGAGCCGTAGGCCACGTCGCAGGCTGGCCTCAGAGCAATGCCGGCTGCACCTGCTGAGGGGGCATCTTCCCCTTGAGGTGGGGAGCTCATCTGTCCCCTCTACCCCTCCTCTCCTTGCCTGTCTCTGCTGAAGAGTAACATAGCCTTCTGGTTGGCTCAGGTTGCTCGACCCGAGAAGAAAGGGCCCTGGAGAAGACTGAACCTTTAACAGAGGAAATGGAGGATCCGGAGCACCCAGAAGGAATGAGTGGTAACACCACCACCCACCCCACCAAAAACAAAGAAAGAGCAGAGCAGAGCCAAGGCGAAAGCTAGGAAGCTTGGGTAGTGCCAGAGCAAAACCACGAGACGGGTGAAACGAAGGCCAGGAAGCTGACTCCCTCTCTTGACTGGTGTTAAATGTGATGTCCAGCTGCACACGCGGGGAATGAATGGTCCAACCCAGACATTAGTGCATATTTCCTGGAGAAAGCAGATCCCAAGTCTGTAGTGTGTTTGTGCCCTTGTTAGGCAAATCCCAAGCGAATTGAACAAATGTGCTGACTTCCGAGGATTTAGCCAGAACAATGACTTGGGTCACCAGGACTTGAAGCGGATATGAGCTATAAGGAAAGACAAAAATAAGTGCGGTGAGGGGCAGGGGTCCAGCAGAGCTGCCTGCACTGCACTCAAGGTTTACAGACCCTGAGTCCATTCACTGCCACCATCAGAAGTCTCTGCTGGCTGTGGAAGTTACCTAATCATTCCTGGGCTGACCGGCAGGGAACCTAAGACTTGCGTCCCTGGCTTTTGCTGATGTCTTCCCTCTTGAGCTAATTCTTCGAAGGGTTCTCATCTTTGAGTGTGTGTGTTTCTTGGGTTTAGAGAGGCACCACAGGCTCTGGATTAGCCTGATGTTGGCGTGTATCCCTCAGGTATCTCTTTACAAAGCTGATGTTGGAGACCTGGGTCCTCACAGAGCTGGTTTGTAGGCAGGGATGCCTCTGGAAGACCCTCCCAGAGTGGTTTGACAAGGCTGAAATGACAGGCAGTGGAGCTGAGGATGCTGGTTCTGTCTCAGCTTTAGGCTGGACCAGGAGGCACAGACAGACGGACGATGCAATGGGATTTGGGGGACAGAGCAAGGGAGTCGACGTTTGGAATTCATAGTCTGACAATAATTAATCGGGGCTCTATAGAGTGAACTGCAGAGAAGATGTGGTAGGGGGTCAGGGGAGGAGAGAGGAGGTCAACACTGCAGCGGACAGGAAGCATAGGGAAGGAGGAGCCATGATGAGGAAGAGTGGACTGTCCTGGAGTGCTGAGGAGTGAGAGCAGGTGCCAGAAACCCAGGAAGAGTCCTATAGACAGCCTGAGAGCACAGATGGAGCTTGGGGTTAACACAATATCTAGGCAGGAACTATTTCAGATAAGTATGGGCTCTGGGCTCACACCCCAACTCTGCCACTTATAAGCCATGTGGACTCAATAGAACAGGTGACACCTCTCAGTCTTGGGCTTTCTAACCTATTGAAATGAGCCTAGTAATATCTACCCATAGGACTACGAGTGTGGAATGAGGTAATTCTTGGAAAGCACTGGAAACAGTGCCTAACACACAGTAAGTGTTAAATCAATGGCCAATGCAATCATTACCATTGCTATTCTGATCCTCTTTACAAAGCTGTAGCCATGTGGGCAGGTGAAATCACAGGCAGGACACAGGACTGAAGAAAGCACTATGTTCCTTGAGCATATCCATCAAAGTGTCATGTTTCTACAATGTGTTTTTCCTTCCAAGACTCCTTCTTCGAACGCGAGCTCCCAGGGTTGGTGCCTGGAGTATGTGTGAAGAACTTGGTAAAGGTTTTTGAGCCCTGTAGCCGGCCTGCTGTGGACCGCCTTAACATCACTTTCTATGAGAACCAGATCACTGCGTTCCTGGGTCACAATGGAGCAGGGAAAACCACCACCTTGTGAGTTCTCTAGCAGAGAGGCTGTCTCCATCCCATCCCATGCCATCCCATCCCATGCCATCCCATCCCATGCCATCCCATCCCATGCCATCCCATGCCATCCCATCCCATCCCATGCCATCCCATCCCATCCCATCCCATCCCATCCCATGCCATCCCATCCCATGCCATCCCATGCCATCCCATCCCATGCCATCCCATCCCATCCCATCCCATCCCATCCCATCCCATCCCATGCCATCCCATCCCATCCCATGCCATCCCATTCCATGCCATCCCATGCCATCCCATCCCATGCCATCCCATGCCATCCCATCCCATGCCATCCCATCCCATTCCATCCCATGCCATGCCATCCCATCCCATCCCATCCCATGCCATCCCATTCCCTGGCTTCACTCTCCCCAGTAACTTCAGTCAGCTCTTCCCTACTGAATTTTGGTGGACACAAAACAAAGAAACACTTATTTTGTGGCCCCAAGAGTTTACAAAGCAAGCCGGGTATGGTGACTCACACCTTGAATCTCTGCACCTGGGAGGGAGAGGCTGGTAAACTCTGTGAGTTCAAGGCTAGCCTGGTCTACATAGTGAGTTCCAGGATAAGCCAGAACTACATAGTGTACATATCCTGTCTTGAATACAACCCCCTCCCAACCACTGCAAAACAGACAAACAAGGTTTTAAAAAGTCTCCTAAGAATGCTGCAGTATTCGAAGCCCACTCAAGTATATTTAATATTCATAAGAAGCAATGAGAGAATTCAGAGTAAGTGTATCACTCCCTTTCTGCCACGGAAATAGACGTTCAGAGTTGAAGTGATTTTTCCTGAAGCCTCTGAGTTGGATGGCTCAGTAGGTGTATTAGCTAGGTTTTCTTATCACAGACAGTTGCCTCTTGTTTCTAACACCCTAAGTCCCCTCCTTAGCCCTCATGTCTACCCTGACACTGTCATCCACAGTGAGCTGCCCATGTCCAGGGTCTGTAGAACACCACTGTTTTTAAGGAGCGCTCCTTTTCCTACCAATTATCGGGTCGCTTCAGTGTTGGCATGGGACCTCTGCTGGGGGGTGGTTACGTTTCTGAGACAGTGGAGAGAGAACGGGGAGTCTCCTCGCTGGCTGGCGGAAAGCCAAGTGCTGGAAGATCTGGGGCTCTGGGTGGACTTCTCAGCCCTACAGTTCTCCAGGGGCCTGAGCGCCACCTGCTGAGAACAGACAGATGTCCGGTGGGTGAGTGGGTGGAGGAGGGGTGGGGGGGTCAACAGGCCATGTGACAGCAGCCATCAAATCCTTGGCTCCCAGAGCCCCGGGAAGGAACAGCGGTGTACACCCTGCTCTGGAATGTGCTCTCGGGCCTTTCAGTGTGAATGGAATGCGGGGCTGGTGCCATTGTGCTTGGTACTGTTTCCCTCTAGTGGTTGATCAACAAAGATTTCAGCTTCTAAATACAGGTTCAGATAGCCTGCGATTTTATCAGAACTCAAGACAGAGCTGGGTGTGGTAGACTAGGCCTATCTCCCAGCTAACTCACGTGGTCAGAGGACAGGAAGCTCCATCCAAGACCCCAGGACCTCTTCAAGACAAACACATTACTTCACCCAGTGCAGAAATTCAACTTCCCCTGGCGTGGAAACATAATGCTCCTGACACCGGGAATAACGTCACGTTTTTAAGTTTCACTTCATGCTGTGCTGTTCTAAAGTACATATTAACTCACTTAACCCAGACAACTACCTAAGCAGGTAGGGGCCAATATGTCTTACTTTACTAAAGAAAGGGGGAAAAAATCACAACACAGTTATGGGCTTTTTATGTTTGCGATCCAAAATTGAAATTGTTAGTGGTAATTCCTGTGCCTGACTGCAGTTACTCAATCAGCTGACACACACTGAATGTGTCGGTGGGTTCAGCTTCTCATCATCGCCAGGGACCTACCTAGGCTTTGTAAAGGCAGCAACTGGTTTCTCCATAATCAAGGTTGCTTACCCAGGTAAAGCAGTGGGCTGTGCTCTCAACCCCTTTAACTGAGCACAAGAGTGACCATGACACAAGGGCTAACCACATCAATAGCCACCAAATGACCACTGTGGCTGACCTTCACAGTGGACGCTACAACTGACCACACAGTAAACGAGACAGTGGCCACTACAGCTGACCACATCAGTGAACACCACAGTGACCACTATGACAGACCTTCATAATGGACACTACAGCTGACCACCACAGTGACCACTGTGGCTGCCCACATCAGTGAACACCACAGTGACCACATGACTGACCACAGCAGTGACCAGTATGGCTGACCATCCCAGCAGGCACTACCACTCACCACCACAGTGATGGGTGAGTGATGGGGTGTCTGAGGCTGGGAATCTCTGAGGTTCTTGCTACTGGTCTGGAAGCACTAGGAAATAAAAGATAGAGCGAGAAGGCCCTTGTGGTCCTCGGTACTAGGACCTGGATATAGGCACTGGGGCTAAGGAAGCCCTGTGTGGAAAATGTCTAGGCCCCTCAGTTGATGCAGGTTTGAGTTTGATAGAGAGATGGGACAGGAGTTACCACAAGTGTCCTTTCAAGCCTGGAATGGCGTTGCCCTCCTCTCCTGGTGAGTCCTAAAGACCTTCTCTTCTTCCACTTAACCCTGTGTTTGGCAGGTCCATCCTGACAGGGCTGTTGCCCCCAACATCGGGGACTGTGCTCATCGGAGGAAAAGACATTGAAACTAGCCTGGATGCAATCCGCCAGAACCTGGGCATGTGTCCCCAGCACAACATCCTGTTCCACCAGTAAGTGAGCTGAAGGCAAAGTCCTCCTGGGCAGGGGTGGGCTCTGTGGGAGAATGCTTACCTGGCATGTCCATCCCCCCTGGGTTCCATCCCCAGCACCACAGGAAAACAAAATGTCTATTGGAAATGACCCCTGCTGTGGAGGCCAGTTTCATGTCAACTTGACACAAGCTAGAGTCACTGGAGAGAAGGGAGCCTCAATTGAGAGAATGCCTCAATAAGATGGGGCTGTAGGCAGGCCTGTAGGGTATTTTCTTATTTAGTGATTGATGTGAGAGGGCCCAGTCCACTTCAGGTGGTGCCATCCCAGGGGTGGGGGTCGTGGGTTCCATAAGAAAGCAGATTGAGCAAGCCATGATGAGCAGGCCAGTAAGCAGCACTCCTCCATGGCCTCTGCACTAGCTCCTGTCTCCAGGTTCCTACACTGCTTGAGTCCCTGCCCTGACTTCCTTTGAAGATCAACAGTGATATGGAAGTGTAAGCGGAATAAACCCTTTCCTCCCTAAGTTGCTTTGGTCACGGTGTTTTAACACAGCAATAGTGACCCTAAGCCACCTGTATCCTGTCCTCACCACCCGCAGTACGTCTTCCCTCCAGCCCAAAGCTTTCGCCTGGTCCCCTTCAGAGCCCTTGTCCTGCTTGGATAAGAATTGTCCCTCCAGATGTGCTCCTGGTGCTCACAGCTGCGGTGTCCCCAGCCAGAGGAGAGACCACGGCTTCTTTCTGAACCCCCCAACCCCTTGGCCCGAAATCCTTCCAGGCAGGAACCAGAGAGAGGAGAGCCTTCGTTCCTTCTCCACGCTGAGTGCTAAAGACTGCCTCTCAGGGGGCCCTCCACGCTGGTTTGCTGGAGTTTTCATTCTTCTCTCCCTTTCTCCTTCCACCTCCCTCTTCCTTCTCCTTCCCCTCTGTCCCTTTCCTCCTCCTTCTCTCTCTTACCCTACTCCTTTCTTTCCAATCGAAACATATTTTATGTCCCGACTCCAGTCATTATGGAGGGAAGGAGGGGGGTGGAGGACAGAAGACAGCCACACACACACACACAAAAAAAACAAAAAAAAAAAAAAAAAAAAAAAAACAAAGCAAAACTGTCACCAGACATTTTACTACCCAGAGACAATTGCTGTCAACACCTCTAGATAGGATTCTTCAGAAATTACTCTGCATGTGTAGACATGCATGGAAACTATAAAGGAGAGTAAAGTTACACGTACAATTTTGTAACCTGACTTCTTGAAAATGGGTTTTCTTTTTAATTATTTTCTTATGTGTCTGGGTGTTCTGCCCGAGTGTATATCTGTGCACTATACGTGTGCCTAGTGCCCGAGAAGAGGGCATCAGATCCCCTGGAACTGGAATTACAGACAGTTGTGAGCCACCATGTAGGTGCTGGGACTCAAACCCAGGTCCTGTAAGAGCAACCAGTGCTCTTAACCACTGAGTCATCTCGCCAGCCCTGTAACTGAATATCTTTTCGCGTGATTACATATTTCTTTAAAAAGAAATTTCTAATGTCTATATACTGTTCCAATATACAAGTGAGCTATTTAAGTAATTTTCTCATTAGATATTTGGGCAGGATTGGTTGGTTGTTTCACTTTTATATCGTAAATAATACCATGATGAAAATTTTGATTGCTGTTGTCTTAGTTAGGGTTTTTTATTGCTGTGAAGAGACACCATGACCACAGCACTCTTATAAATAAAAACATTTAATTGAGGTGGCTCGCTTACAGTTTCAGAGGTTCAGCCCATTATCATCAGGATGGGGAACATGGTGGCGTGCAGGCAGACATGGTGCTGGAGCTGAGAGTCTTACATCTTGATTCAGAGGCAACAGGAAGTCAGCTGACTGTCACACTGAGCGAAGCTTGAGAAAAGAGACCTCAAAGCCCGCCCCCACAGTGACACACTTCCTCCAACAAGGCCACACCTCCTACTATGCCACACCCTTCGGGTGCCATTTTCTTTCAAACCACCACGGCTATGTCTTCATATTCATCTTTATTTTCTTCCTTTTGAGATAGGACTGGCCTCGAACCTAGAGATCATCCTGCCTCTGCCTCCTGAGTGCTGGGATTAAAGGCATGCGCCGCCACCCCCCCTGCTTCATCTTTATTTTCTAAGAGAAATTGCTAGAGATGAAATTTCTTAGCCCGCTGCTTTTCTCCTCATCCTGTCCCCACAGTCTCACGGTGGCTGAGCACATCCTCTTCTACGCCCAGCTGAAAGGGAAGTCCTGGGAGGAGGCCCAGCTGGAGATGGAAGCCATGTTAGAAGACACTGGTCTCCACCACAAGAGAAACGAGGAAGCTCAGGACCTCTCAGGTGCCTGATATTGGAAGGAGATAGAGCCTCATAGGGAGCATCCATTGCCTCTCAGTGTACCCTAGCAGAGGGTGGGGTAGAGCGGTGGTTCTCAACCTGTGGGTCACAAACCCCCCAAGGGTTGCATATCAGATATTTACATTACATATCGAAACAGTAGCAAAATTACAGTTATGAAGTAGCAACGAAATAATTTTGTGGTTGGGGTCACCACAACACAGGGAACTATATTAAAGGGTAACAGCGTTAGGAAGGTTGAGAACCATTGGAGCAGGGCCTTCTAACGGGGAAAAGCTCCTAAAACTTCTGCGAAGTTAAACCTACAGTCTTCAGATGACCGGGTGCTAGGACGCAAGGGTGGCCTTTCTGCATTGATGAAGTCTGAATGCCACTATGGCTTTGGGCGGTGTAGGCACATCTGAGGTGGCAGTGTCCAACTGTGAGATGTAACGAACCTCCGTGTGCCACCAGCCCTGGGCTTCTGTCTTCCCCATGCCAAGGTGTCTGTGATGTACCACCACTGTCTTCTTCCTGCCTCCAGGTGGCATGCAGAGGAAGCTGTCTGTGGCCATTGCTTTTGTGGGAGATTCCAAAGTGGTGGTCCTGGACGAACCCACCTCTGGGGTGGACCCCTACTCCAGGCGCTCCATCTGGGACCTGCTCCTGAAGTATCGCTCAGGTGAGGGTTGTTGCTCATGCTCCACTGAGGTGCTTCCAGGAGTCCCATTTTCTCACACCTAGTATTGTGTATACCTGTGTATACTAACAGCCATAACTGCACTCATTGGAGACCATCAGTGAGTCCGAGTTCAAGTAAGAGCCTCCTCAGATTTTTACATAAATACAAGCAGGGAGTCCTGGATGAAGTGGCCTACTTGCCGAAATATTCTAGAAAGCTGGGTTGGGAGTGTAGCTCATTTGCTGTAGTGTTTACAAAGCATGCACAAAGCCCCAAGTTCAATCCCAGCACCACATAAACCAGGCCTGGTAGCACATGCACATAATCCCAGCACTCAGGAGGTAGAGGCAGGTAGATCAGAAATTCAAGATCAGTCTCAGCATGTTCAAGGCAAGCCTGGGTTACATGAAGCCCTGTCTCAACAAAAGAAAACAACAAAAACAAAAGTCGTTTCTACCTTTAGTCCTCCAATCTGAAAAAGTGGAATTGCCCTCTGGCAAAAGGACCCCAAGAAGCTGCCTAGCTGTTGTGTGATCACCTGAGACTAGGTGTTAAGAACAGGGGGCTAGATGTCTGGAACTGCAGAAGGCTGTGGCAGATGAAGATGTTTTAGACGGGCTCTTTACCCATCCATCCCTGCACCTTCCAGAGGATTCTCATCCAGAAGCCACATCAGGCAGAGTTGAGACCCCGCGCAAGCAGCAGTGTGGTTCATCCTGCGCAGCCTGGAAAGCCTCCTCCTCTGTTCTTACTGTACTCCTCATGCCCCTCACTGAAGGCTAAAATTCTCATTTCCTTTTTAAATAACAGTCCCCATTTAATGAGAGAGTGCTGTGTGATCCTACAAAGTACGAGTGGTGTTTATGATGTGAAGACCATATGGAAGTCCAGAGATGCTGCCAGTGAGGACGGTGTTGACTGTGTCCCACACACGTCAAATTGTTTGAATCTTACCTGAGGCTCAATGCAGAGACGGTCTATGTGATGGTGCTTTATAGTATGCATATGCTAGGATATAGTGGTTGCTATAACACCACTTTGCTTGCTGCAGAATTTGCTACTTTGTTTTTAATTCATTAACTCCGAGTTCTGGGACCACATAACCTGCAGGTTGCTGTCCATCCTCTCCAGGGCTTGTCTGGTAACAACCCCGACCTCTTCCTCACAGGCAGAACCATCATCATGTCCACTCACCACATGGATGAGGCTGACCTCCTCGGCGACCGCATTGCCATCATTTCCCAGGGAAGGCTCTACTGCTCCGGAACCCCACTCTTCCTCAAGAACTGCTTTGGCACAGGCTTCTACTTGACCTTGGTTCGCAAGATGAAAAACATCCAGAGCCAAAGAGGTGGCTGTGAGGTACGTGTCTGCCCAGGGAAGGGGCCCCGGGCGACTTGGGTGAGAAGGGACAGGCAGTGTGGGGCTGCCCTTCTAGATATCTCTACCCACTGGACCTTTCGCTGTCAGAATCAGCTTGTTTCTGGGACTATTTGCAGATTTCGGTAATCGCATTCTAACCTACCCTATAGAGATGCCCCCCCAACACACACTCAGATACAACTACTTTAAAATAACCTGAAAGCACTACACATCAGTGTCCCAAACTATACACGTAGCATGGTGCCCTTCGAGGTTAGTCCGCTTTGTTTAAGCGTCTCTCCTTCATTCCAACATCCATGTTCCCTAATTAAGCCTGAATTTCAGTAGTAAATGAAATCTAAGGAGAGGCATCGTTGGGAACTATAATCTGAAAGTGATACGGGGGGTGGGGAAGCCAGCGGAGACCACCGAGCATGCCCTTAGAACTGGCAAGTCCACGGTGTCATCCTGAGCAAGTGATTTTTGTTCTTTACTGTTATCTTTCCTTACGTGGGAAAAGAAGCTGATGGTGCCGGCTTCTGCCCCGTAGGGATGTAGTGGGGACAAATGAGCTAAAGTGTTGTGAATGTTGCCGGGCTCCTTGAAAACAGGTGTCCCTGGTACTCAGATCGCCGCGATTGCTCTTCTGTAGCGTCATTTACACCTCCAGTGTGAAGGGCTGTAGTGGGTTTTCCTGTCCTGCATAGATTTTCACAGCCTGGTGTCCGAAGGGGTTGGGAGGGGAGCAGAATGTCTCTCTCGCTGCCACATGATGAATGACCAGCCAAAGGGATGCTTTGAGGTTCCGCCTCTCTCTCTGCCTGACTCACATTCCCTCTGGGATAAAAGTCAAGCAGCTACACCCTCAACATGCTCAGATGAATTAATAGATTAAACAGAGAAGAAAAAAAAAATGCTGGCCCCAGTCGGTGATGAGAGGCCAACAGAGCAGCGGTGACAGCAGCTGGCACCGTGAAGATCCTATCGCTGAAAGGATGTGCGTCTTATCAGTCCCTTCTGTCCGTCTGTTACAGGGGGCCTGCAGCTGTACATCAAAGGCTTTCTCCAGCAGGTGTCCAGCCCGAGCTGATGAGATAACCGAGGAACAAGTCTTGGATGGTAAGAGCTGGCCAGGTTAAACATCAGTTCTGGTTCAGTGACCATCTGCCACGTGGTCAGGTGTGCTCTGTCGTGATGCACTCGAGCAAAGAGAACACTCGGTGTGCCTCGAAGCCCAGAGTCATGCAATTGCTCATCTTTTGCCTTGAGCCCGTTGCTCCTCCTCGCGTGATTTTAAGGTCGTGCGCCCAAGAGACCTCTCTTTAATAAGGAATCCAATCTTTGTTCATCCCCACCCCTACTCATGTTACACTTTGGTCCTTAGAGTCCCCCTGCCCTGTAACAGAGTGTGGACGCATCTACTCTTGAAAGTGTGCCAAGGCACCATCTGGTTCTCTCTGTGTGTAATATTTATTATTTTTATGTGTATGACTGCCTGCATGGATGAAAGTGAACCATGTATGTGCAGTGCCTGCCGAAGCCAGAAGAGGGCATTGGGTCTGAAACCAGAGTTACAGGCAGCTGTGAGCCAGCAGGTGGGTGCCAGGAACTGAACCCAGGGCCCCTGTAAGAGCCATGAGTGCTCTTAATACGCTGAGCCATCTCTCAATCCCTGCATGTCTCTTACAGGGAAATTTTGGAGAATCTGAGCTTGTCGGTGGAGAGGATGCATGACATCTTCGTACAATGCACACATTTCCTAGTGCTACCCAAGTTCCCACTGAGCCTCCCTTTAATTTAAGGGTATATTGTCTCTCAGAGGCCGCTCCCTGTCACCAGAGAGATGCAGTAAATAAGCTCACTGTACATGCAACTGTTCACCCGTCAGATTCAAGCTCAGGATCCCAAGAGCTTGCTAGAACCCTTTCCATTCTCAATACTGCCCATCTTCGGGCCTCTCATGAGGGTGACTTTGCAAGTAGAATGCCACATCCCCTAAGATCCTATGTCAAAGCAAAAATAAACTTAGGTACTGACCCTGCTTTCTGAACAGAGGAAAGTGTGTGCTTATCAAAGACAAAGTTTCCTATTTAACACTCCCCCCCCCCCCCCCCCCCCGCCTCAAAACCTGAAGAGTCTACTAAGTGAAATTTGGTGGAACATTGATGTGCTATGCTTAAAATCTGGTGGGGTGGGGGTGTGGAGGAAGCCAGGTGCATTGGCACGAGCCTTCAATCCCAGCTGAGGCAGATGTAGGCAGATCTCTGTGAGTTCTAGGCCAGCCAGATCTAAATAGGGAGTTTAGGCCATCCTGGATGACAGAGTGAGACCCTGTCTCACATAACAACCACCTGAGAGGAAATTCTTGGAGTCGCATCGCTAGTATTGACTCCCCCTGCCGGCAGAATCGGTGCTGAGCAAAAAGCATGGCTTTGAATTGTCTGAATCTCATGCTTTGCTCATCTCGCTGTGGGCATCTCTGGTGTTGCTGAAAACTTCTCCTTGGAATCTTGGTCAAGACATTGATATTTTCTTTAAACAAATCAACACTGATGTGTTTTGTTGTTATAGTCCGTCAAGATCCAGTTGGAATGTGTCTGTGGCTGGCATGATTTTTAAAGTATGGCTTTATTTCTAGGAAAAGACTTCCTTTGTATAGCATGGGCGTGCTGAGATGGTGGTTAAGTATAGTGATGCCCCCCAATTAGGGAGGAGCGATCCCTTAATCCCCGGTTACCCCCTTGGCTGGCTTTTCACTCACTCACTCACACACACACACACACACACTCACAGACCTCCCTCCAGATGGACCCTTGTGAGAGGCTGACACACATCTAAGACAGAATCCCTGGGAATCCAGTGACTGTGTCTCACTTCCTTCCTCAGAGAACAATGAGTGTGACCTCTACAAGCTACTGGGGCAGAGCTATTTCCTCTAGTAAAGAACTCCCGGTCCCAGTATGAGATCATCCAGGACTGAAGACAATCACACAGTTTGCAGGTGTGACACACACGCCTTTCATTCTAGCTAAGCACAGGGTCTTAATGGGGAGCTACAAAATATTCCAACCACGTCATTTTTGAAAGAAAGGCGAGACTCTCCTAGGCGATGCTGACCCTTTAAGAAAACTGGCCTGAACATTAATGCTCATTGGGATTAGAGCATCTCCTACGTACAATCCCAGCAGTTGGGAGGCTACTGCAGGATTGTGAGTGCAAGGCCAATCTGAATTACAAAGCAAGACTTTTTTTTTTAAGTTAGGCTTTCAATTCCAATGTAATACACGCTTGTCCATAAAATGCAGTTCTGGCTGTTCAAAGTTATCATGCTACCATGCTTCCCTCCCACCCACTCCCCATGCCATCCTCATCCTCTCCAGGGCCTTTCAACCTCCTGCAGTTGCTGGCTAACGAATTTTGTTCTGTTTAAGAGGACAGGGACAACCCAAGGGAAAATGCTATGGCTCTCTAAGAAGTAAACCAGGCAATTTAGGAAGGGGACTAGTCTCCTCTCTAGTGTCTTATAAGTCCTACAGCTTGTTTGGGCCAGACCAGGAAGAAGAAACCAACTCTGACTTAACCCCTAAGTTTCCAATGAATGAGGATAAGCAACAAAGCCGATGAGCGTTCTTCCCTGAGCTGATGTTCAGGAATGCAACGGCAGCTAAGTGCCAGCTTTACACCAGGCACCGCTCCAAGCACTGTGTATACGTTAACTCCCCTTGCACACAAACAGTAGTGAAGTGGGCACAGTCATTTCTCCCTTTCACAGATGAGGAACTCGGGAAGGACTCGCGCAGTGTAGCATTCCTTGAGGCAATACACATTTGACTGAACAATGGAAGAAATGCCCTCCCTCAGGTTGCACAGCTGGCCACCTGGAGTACTCTTGTCCTAGAGTCAACTAAGCTAAAAATAGACTTGCTGAGCTTCAAGTCTACAAGAAATGATGTGACACCAGGAGCCAAGAGTGTGGTTCATGCCTCTAATCCCAGCACTCGGGAAGGCCAGCCAGTACCAAACCAATATACAGGCTAAGCTGGACTTCAGGGAGAAACCCCGTCTCAGCAAACACACCATACACACACACACACACACACACACACACACACACACACACACACACACATACACACACATACACACACACACACCCCAAAACCACCAAAGGTGCATATAGATTGGTTTTTCAAGACAGGGTTTCTCTGTGCAGCCCAGGCTGTCCTCAAACTCACAGAGATCTGCCTGCCTCTGCCTCCCGAGTGCTGTTAAAGGTATGCGCCACCGTCACTCGGATAAAGATGATATATTTGTAAACACCTCTAATCCATCACTTGAGGATAGAGGGAGAAAGATCGGGAGTTCAAGATCAGGTTTAATTATATAAAGGGTTTGAGGCCAGCCTGTGCTACACGAGACCCTGTTTCAACACACACGTACACGAGAGAGAAGTGGGGAGGGGGGAGGAGAGAGGCAGGGGGTTGGAATCGACCAGGAGGCCCAGGCAACCTCACAGTCTTCCAGGTTGTAGAACAGGCTGACTAGCGTTGGTAGCAGGCCCTTTTTCTTGTCTTAGGCAGTGTGAAGGAGCTGATGGATTTGGTGTACCACCATGTTCCAGAGGCAAAACTGGTGGAATGCATTGGTCAGGAACTTATCTTCCTCCTTCCAAACAAGAATTTCAAGCAGAGAGCATATGCCAGCCTTTTCCGGGAGCTGGAGGAGACGCTGACTGACCTGGGGCTCAGCAGCTTTGGAATTTCGGACACTCCCCTGGAAGAGGTAAGGCCGAGGTGGCAGCTGGTCTCTGACTAGAGCCAGAAGAGGCGGCTCTTGCAAAAATCTAACACGAAAGCAAAATCTTACAAAAGCAAAGGGCTGATATTCCCCCACTCAGTGTGGCAACTCTCTCCATCTTTAGCTGCCTCAGTCCACATGCATACATACTTTCTGCTTCCTCCTGCCTCAGTCCACATGCATACATACTTTCTGCAGCTATGGTCCCCGTGTGCTCACACCTTCCCATTTATAGACTATGTTCTTAGATAGTTAGAACACATTTCTTCCCATGGTGAACAGTGCCCGACAAAATGGGACTAGGTTTAGATTTTCCTGGAAGCAGGAATGACTGAATCAAATTCTCTCTTCATGTCTCAACAGATTTTTCTGAAGGTCACGGAGGACTCTGATTCCGGCTCTATGTTTGCAGGTATGGTGCTGGACCCTGTGGCCTGTTCTGTGTTTCTCCAGATTTGATCTTGAAAAATCTACAGGGAAAGTAACAAAGCAGCCATCCACTCCTTCCTAAGTGCCAGAGCCCCAAGTAACGCACTTTGTGTCCTCATGGCAGCAGGGCGACAGGAAACTGAATTTGGCTGGGTGGGGACATTCTGGGTGAATCTGGATTCTTATCAATGTCAGATGGGTAGATTTCCTCCCCAAACATCACCTCCTACACCTCTGCTCTCTTTTTTCTTCCCTATCACCACCTCTCTTCTCTACCAGGCTTCTTTCTGATCCATTCTTGCCTGCATGAGTGACAGCTAGCAGAGAGTCCTTAGAGATAATGACGACAGTTAATACAACCCAGATGCCAGCCACAGTCTCCCAGCCCCTTTGAGATCAAGATAAAAACACTCTTAAACTCTCAGGTAGAAACCTGTGGACTTTGAAATGGTGGGCACTGAAATTCCTGTGAAATCTGGCCTTCTCTCTTCTATATGTGTTAGCCTGGGTCCTTCGCTTAGTTCCTCACAGCCACACAAAGCATTAGGAGTGTTGTATACTTCCTGCAGAGGGAACAGAAGTATCAGAAAGGTAACGTCTCCATAACACAAATCACTTCTGATAGAGCAAGAGGCATGTTCCCACTCTGCTGAAATAGACCCAACGGGGCCTCTCTCCTGCTCAGGGGCAAAGATGGCCAGCGGTTCTCTCTTACTGTCTTGGGTCACTGGTCCCCTCCTCCTACCCAGTGTGGCACATTGTAATGTCTTCCTATGCAATGTTTCCTTCCTACAGAATTTCTGCTACCGCTCCCACCTTCTAAGATATAATGTGTGTCTCATCCAGCTACTAAGTCACCAAGCATGGATCAGCCATGCCTAGATTTACCAATGGCCATATTGCCAGTCTGTATGCATTCCAGCTTACCCATATAGGTCAGGTGGCAGACTATTGAGGCAGTCAGCCTTGCAGAGGGGGAAGGGATGAGTCCTCTGTTGAAGGTAGGAGTAGCTCACTGTGGGGGCCAGGTTCTCTTTAAGTTCGTTGCAGAAAGCAATTGATTCTCTCAGTTCTTTCAAAGCTAAAGATTCACATTAACCAAGACAAGAATGAAAATATGTTGAAGTATACCACAACTTGTGCTAGATTTAAAAGTTAGGGACTTTTACCTGGACAAAATGCTCCTTTTTTAATAATTAGCCTATCAGAATAATAAAGTCAGATGTTGAAGACTGGTCAGCATGGCCATAGAGGTGGGTATTTCAGAGTCAGTAGAGAGCAGGTATTCAGAGTTTAGCCATTAGAGTGCAGTAGACAACCTTCAAACCTGAGCTCCATCATTTGATGGGCAAGGTACTTAGCCTCTTCATACCTCAGTTTCCCGATGAGGAAAAGGAGAAGAATAACAACATACACTTTTTTTTTTTTTTTTTTTTTGGTTTTTCGAGACAGGGTTTCTCTGTGTAGCTTTGCGCCTTTCCTGGAACTCACTTGGTAGTCCAGGCTGGCCTCGAACTCACAGAGATCCGCCTGGCTCTGCCTCCCGAGTGCTGGGATTAAAGGCGTGCGCCACCACCGCCCGGCTACAACATACACTTTTTAAAATCATTGAGAGAATTCCATAAGTACACGCCAAGTTTTTATGAGCATGTGATCTGTGATCCAGATTTGACAAGACCCTCATGGTAACACTTACAAACCCTCTCACCATTCATACTTGCATGGTTCTTTATACTTGACAAAGCACCTGATATCATTGTGCTACTTGATATCACAATAATCTCATGAGGCAGATAGATAGGACAGAGACCTGGGAAACTCAAGTTCACTGAGGCTGGATGAGGTGCCTAAAGCCACACAGACTGATGGATCTTATTCTCTGAAATTTGAGCTGTCACTCCACATTCTCATCACCTCCCACAGTACTAGTGGCTAAGTACAGATGGGTCAGAGTGAGACCTTGCCCCCGAACAACTACAGAAAGATTGTTAGTCTCCAGGCCCTATGGTTCTCCAAATGAAGAGTAACTGATGTTGTGAGGAAAATGTATATCATAATCTCTTACGTTTGCATTTTTCAAATTATTGATCCAATATCCCTTAGGTGGCATGCAGCAGAACAGAGAGCATGTCAGTCTCCGGCACCCTTGTTCTGCTGCCGCCGAGAAGGTCAGGCAGCCCGCCCAGGGCTCCCACACCTGCTCCCTAGGACAAGTGGATCCTTCCAAGGGCCAACCTTCCCCAGAGCCAGAGGAACCCAGCGCCCCATTCAACACAGGCGCTAGGCTGATTCTTCAACACGTGCAGGCGCTGCTGGTCAAGCGATTCCACCACGCTGTCCGCAGCCACAAGGACTTTTTGGCTCAGGTACCACTGTGGCCAGCTTGGGCTTGACCCGTTTCTCCCCCTCGGGTCTAGGGTCTGTCTTCTCAGGAGCATCTGTGAGGATGAGCTCAACCTCTACCCAGAACACTTTGGCGCCCATCACCTCTACCTCCTCCTTGTCAAATCTTTATTTTGATTGTGGGTTTTGCAAATCTTCTTGGAAGACTTGGGCCTCATTTAGAATAAAAAAATAAGGTAGTCAATATTGTTTCTATTTTCATAATGGAAGGTAAAGTTATACGTTTAATTCATTTTTCCAATGACCCAAAGATCAAGGCCATTGTCCTATTTTGAGACAGGGTATCGTGTACTCCAGGCTGGCCTCAAACTTGATGTATATCTAAGAATGACCTGGAACTTCTGGTTCTCCTACCTCTACCTCCTGAGTGTTGGGATTGAAGGCATGTGCCACTAAACTCAATACCATACAGTGCTACAGATTGAACTCAGGGCTTCGTGCCTGCTGGGCAAGCACTCTACACCATCTCAGCTATATGCCCAGCCCCGTGTCTATGTTTTTCATTTTAAAAAATGTAAGTTGTTCTTTAACTTCCCTTGAGGCTCTGGCTGAGCATGGCATACACTCAGATTCTTAATGACTGCAGGGACATTCCGTTTCCTTCTGCATGTATTACCTTCTACACTTGCCTATAATGTTCCCCTAGAGGCCTGCCCTTCCCTACCAGCATCTGAATATGCAGTGGAGGGTAAATGCTTAAGAGAATGTGTGTGCTGCATGTGTGCATGGTATGGGTACACACGTGTGCATTGAGTGCCTTCCTGTGCATGTGTGTCATCTCTCATACTTCAGCCCGTGTCTCCATTGATGTTCTCTTACAGATTGTTCTCCCTGCCACTTTTGTGTTTTTGGCTCTGATGCTTTCCATCATTGTGCCTCCGTTTGGTGAATTTCCAGCTTTAACCCTTCACCCCTGGATGTATGGACGTCAATATACCTTCTTCAGGTGTGTAGATTCATCCCCGGGGCACACCAGTGTCCTCTGACATGTGATATTCCTGGACCACATGCTTGCTAGAAGGGTCTTGACCTCCCCACCTCCCTGGAATCATCACCAAGGTAGAAGGAGTCCTGGGATTGTTCTTAGAAGGGAAGCTAACGTAGGAGTCAGTGCTTAGCAGTGTGGTACCCAGTGGAAGGCCCATAGGGAAAGAGGATATGAAGCTTGGGAAAGGGGGTTGAAGCTCCATCTTTTTGAGGCATAGATGATCAACCATCAGACTTCTAGGTGTGTATGGTAGGCTACCCCACTTCCAGGAGCCCCACAACCATTCTAAGTGAGGGTTCAATGCCTCACATACACACGTGGCATGGAATTCAGTAAACACTTATATCTGCGTTAGTGGCCATTGTCCATTCTGTCCCAGTCTGACTACCAGGTGAGCATCCCTCCCTCTCTCTCTTCCTAGCATGGATGAGCCCAGCAATGAACACCTCGCAGTGCTGGCAGATGTCCTCCTGAACAAGCCAGGCTTTGGCAACCGTTGTCTAAAGAAAGACTGGCTTCCGTAAGTCCTGCACTAACACAAACAGCTCCCCTGGGGACCCCAAAGCCAGCCTGGGGGTGTTGGGAAAGACCCCTCAGTCCTGCCCTGTATTATTATTTGGGTCACGTCCATGTCTCTAACCAGCACTTACCCAGCTTCTTCTTTAAGCAGAACTTCATCCTAGGAAGCCCCCATCATCAACAGCTCTTTGTGTCTCAATACAGAAATTTTCTATGTTCTATATCTGAATGAAAGGAGACGAAGATATGCAATTATACAACTGAAACTTGAGTGGCATGAATTATTTCTGTGGCCAGCTCTCACTCATTGTTGTAACTCTGGAAAAGAGAGGTGTAGAAGACAGTTGAAATCCGCCAGGAACCTTTATAGTTCAGTGTAGTTACAGCATCTTCTCTCATCCAATCTTCTCCAAAGCTATTGCTAAAGAGCAAAATGGACACATTTCAGATGCTTCTATTATTTTTTTCATCTCTCAACAGCAAGAGCTGCTAGACAGAAACAAAACAAAAAAATCAAAAACCAAACCAACCAAACAAGCAAACAAAAACCCAGAGAGTCCGCCAACTAGGCGGTTATTCCCTAGGCTACGTTCTGTCACGAGCAGGACCCCGGTTTTGATAGTCCTCAAGCGGACTCTAATTCTCAGGAGGGAAATTCCTGGCTCCAAGGAAGAGAAGAGCAGAGAAGGAGCCAGCCGACAATGATTCCTCTTTTTTAGGGATTTAACAAAATCAGCAGTGGGATTGACTGTGGAATATTTTCTCATTTTTCCATAAGGGAGTACCCCTGTGGCAATTCAACCTCCTGGAAGACACCTTCTGTGTCCCCGAACATCACCCACCTGCTCCAGAAGCAGAAATGGACAGCAGCCAACCCCTCTCCATCCTGCATGTGCAGCACCAGAGAGAAGCTCACCATGCTGCCCGAGTGCCCTGAGGGTGCCGGAGGGCTCCCGCCTCCACAGGTACCGGCGTCATTTTTAACAAGTGCATACTGTCCCTGTGTTTTGATGGATTTTAAATTATTTCCCATGGAGCCGGGCGGTGGCGGCGCACACCTTTAATCCCAGCACTCGGGAGGCAGAGGCAGGCGGATCTCTGTGAGTTGGAGGCCAGCCTGGGCTCCAGAGTGAGTTCCAGGACAGGCTCCAAAGCTACACAGAGAAACCCTGTCTCGAAAAAACAAAAAACAAAAAAAAATTATTTCCCATGGTTGATCATTTAGATTTAAAATGTTTTTCTCTATTCTAAATAATGCTGTGATATACATTCAAGTGTTAATATGTTTACATATTGATTAACAACAGTTTTAATTAAGCTTACTATGGGGGCAGGCGGTGGAGCTCGGTGGTAGACTGTCGGGTGTGACGTAAGGCCCTGGGTTTGATATTCATTGTAATGAAGGAAGAAGTGGGTGGGGATGACCTATGTGCCTATGCACTATGTATTTAACATACATGTATGTACACGGCCTGCAGCTTATCTTTTGCAAGAGCGGCATAGATTGTACTTCGAGCAGTGTCTTGTCTAGAGCTGTGTGCTCTATATCACACAAGCCCTCCTGGAGGTTTCAGGAGAGCCCCACCTTTTCTCTGGTTACTAACAGCCTCCCAGGTGACTTGGATGGTCTCTCATTGTGTCTCAAAGAATGGATGCTTCCCAAAGAGTCAGGGTGGTGCAGGGGTTCAGAGGTGGGAGTCAGGAGGCATGGCTTGGTTTCTTGGCCTCTGAGCCTTCCTCATTTTCTCTCCTGGAGGGTGAGGGGAACTACACTTAGTTCATAGCATTATGAGGATTCAGAGAAATAGTGTGGGCAATGAACTATTTAGGATTAGAGTCCGCTCAAGCAATGGCAATCCTAACCTAACAGCGGCTGAAACGAGATACAGCTTGCCTCTCGCGCGTGCAAAAGTTAACACGGGTGGTCTACGATGTTCTTGTCTGTTGTTCCTCTGACAGGCACAGGCCTCCGACTCTCCAGCCAGAGTTATAGAACGTATTTTGTTAGGCAGTGGAGTAGAAAGCGTGAAGAAAAAGATACAGCAAATGTTTTAAGTGTGTGCAAGGAAGACTTCTAGAAGCTACTGCATAGCCTTTCCACTGAAAGGTCGCTGGACAGGACCCAGCATCGGGAGAGACCAGTGGCTGCCACTTTAACTGTGCACAGCCTGTGCCCATGGGAAAAGTCATAACAAGAGCACCAGGAAGAAGACATAATGGGACAACTATTACTATTACAATGGGATTACTATCACATCTCTCACGGCTGCTGGCTCATAACTGGTCCTGTGCCAATCTTTTTCTTTTTTCTTTTCTTTTTTTTTTTTAATTCTAAGGCATGCCTTTATGTTTCTCAAGCAGTATATTCTCTCCTTGGGTGACTTCTAAACTGCTACATTGCAGGTATCCCTGACTGCCTAGGATTTGGGCTGGGAGAAGAAAACGTCGAGCCTTGCTACACAGGAGTTTATTTCCTAAGTGAATGATAGGCTGCCTAACTTAGAAACTTCAGTATAGCATTGGTCCTTGGTCCCTAGGGTGAAGTTCAAAGTCTTAGAAGAGTCACAGCTGGTCTACGGCTGTATTTTACCCCTGACTCTCCTCATTAACACTCATATCTCCTTAGGAGCAGAACTGAATGTCACACACCTATGTAACCACCCCCTCTCACACACACAAGTACATGCATTCACATCCACTCACCCTCACTTAGCACCTTCCCGTTCATCCAGAAATAAGAGCAGAAGGAGGGCCCTGGTTCAGAGGTGGCAAATGGAAAGTAGGGTAGCAGTATCCTGTAGTCATGGCAGCAGATGCTGTGGTCTGTAGCATCCTTTCTGGCTCTAACATTCCTTCAATAGTGGAGGGTCTTGATAAGGATGCACCCCATCTCTGACCTCCACTCTACACGGAGATAAAGTAGGAACGTTGTTGTTGACAAAAGTTTTAGAAAACGTTTGTCACGACCTGCCTCACACACCAGGGATTGTCCCTGCCTCCTACCAGGGTTGTCTGGTTAGGTACTGTGGTCAATTTGAGGAACAGGTAATAGACAGCAGGGGAGTCAGACGCGGGTGATCTTAGGCCAACCACACGCAAGCTAGCCAGCTTTTCTTAACCTCCCTTTCTCGGTAAAGCTCTCTCTTGTGAGAGCCACGGGGGTGGGATCCCATACACAGAGCATTTACCACAGTCTCCGTCACACTGCGGGCATTCAGGGGCTGCTACTTCACCTGGCAGAGAAGGAATCTGAGGAAGAAGGTGAACTAAAGGAGAGATCAAATGGGGAAAGGGAAGAATCTAGAAAACATATGGAAAACAAATGCTTTTTGATGGTGGTTTAATGCCACCTTGAATCCTGTCAGCCAATTCTGAGTGGCAATCTGGACAGAATGAATGCTTTTGCCCAAGGTTCTTGACCGACCTGCGACATTGACTAATCCAAGAAACTCAACATTGGGTGATATTGCCACCTGGTGGCCAAAATCGAGCACTTTGGAATGCCTCCAAATCTCTTGATTGCCTTCCACTCCTAGATATATTTTGAAAGTGATTTGTAAAATATACAGTGCTATTCAAATGATTTCATTTGCATTCCAAATGTATTATCCGATAGCTGGGTACTGGGGATGTGAAAGCCAAAAAGGCAGAGGAGGCCTCTGCTTTCACAGAGATGACATCGTGCACGGGACAGGGTAGAGGCAGTGAGGAGATTCAGACAAAGGCATGTTTCGTGTGAGATGAGCACTGTGAGGGTACATGAGGTGACTGACGGATGCCTTTTGTCTTTAAAACTCAATCTGACAGTGCGTGGAGAGCAGAATGTGGAGGCCCAAGGCGGAGTCATGGAAACAGTATGGAGGTTTCTGAAGAGGTGTAGGCAAGGACTAGGTAGTGGCTTAAATTGGGGTGACCAGATCAGACTGGGGGAGACAGGTATGCTGGAGATTGATTTTGCAGTTAAGCTCTCTGTCACTGGATGGAGTGAGAAAAATGAGGTGGGAATCAGCAATGGCTCCCACATCACTGATGTAGGAACCAAAAAGATGTCAGGGTTGTGATGAGTGTTTCATAGCATCTGAGTCCGTAATAAACTCTGGAGAGAAACAGCAGTTTCACAGACTCTAATGTCTCAGCCCCCAAATCTTGACTGTGTCTCTTCACCCTAGAGGACACAGCGCAGCACTGAAATCCTGCAAGACCTCACGAACAGGAACATCTCTGACTACTTGGTAAAAACGTATCCTGCTCTCATCCGAAGCAGGTAGGCGACCCTGTCACACTTGTAATCCCGGCTGCCTAGTGACGATATCAACCACGGCGGAAAGCCAGTTTCCCGCTGTGAACCCGTGAGGGCGGCAGCAGAATGTGGTGAAGGCCACATCTAGCAGAAGAAGTAACTGGGGTATATGCACCTCAGGGGCAGCTGGAGGTTCATTTTCTTTTGCTTGTTCCATGTTTAAGAAAAGCAGTCAAGCCGGGCGGTGGTGGCGCACGCCTTTAATCCCAGCACTCGGGAGGCAGAGCCAGGCGGATCTCTGTGAGTTCGAGGCCAGCCTGGTCTCCAAAGCGAGTTCCAGGAAAGGCGCAAAGCTACACAGAGAAACCCTGTCTCGAAAAACCAAAAAAAAAAAAAAAAAAAAAGAAAAGCAGTCAATGTTTACCCCAGGCACTGTTGCAAGTGTCACAAAAATGTGTTCAGTAATGAAGCCTTACCTCTTACGGAGTTAAGGGAGGCCAGGTTTGTAGGGGATGGGGAGAAAGCGGGGGAAGCTGAGGAGAAGAAGTAGAGGGAGAATGAAAGAGAAACAAAAGGAGACTGAGGGGGAAAGGCTGGGGACAGCATCTGGGTACGAGCCCAGGCCAGGCAATGGCTGGGGACAACTGTCGTCACACTCATTGTCACCTGCCACTGTCACCCTTGAACACATCCACAGACACTTGACTATCTAGAGCTCTCAGCTCTGCGCCTGTTCTTATCAAGCCCGGCTTGGGATGGGAGGCCTGCGGCAGCCCCTGTCGGCTTGACCAAAGCCTTCTACCAGAAAGATCCTTAAGGAGGTGTGATCCAGTCTCCATGGGCTCTATGGCTTTCGAACGAAGCATCCCGTCTAATTTTAACAGTCCTGACAGTTGCCTTCCATAGTAGAGCCTGAGGGAGTAGCACATGGACCTAAAGGGCTGGAATTCACTGCAGACGGGGAGACGGCTGCTGGGAGGGCAGGGTCAAGCTAGCCATGAGAAAAAGAGCACCGTCCGATCCAAAACCAAAAGCAGAGGGTGAGTTTGCTCATTAATTCAATAAACAAAACTCTCTAAACCTGGCTCAATAACCAATTAGCATTACGAACTTTTTGATTTTTACTGGATGGTTGATGACAATGACGGTGCGGGGCCAGCTGGAACTCTAGGGACTAGAGCTTCCTCATCATGTTATCTTACCCCCAAACGCCCAGAGTCAGTGCCTTGACTGAACGGGGAGCTGTAAGTCAGAACTCGTCCCAAGGATGCAGTTGGTTATTAGACTCTCTTATATTCTGTAAAAGAAAGAGAGCTTCAAGCTTCACTCCACACTGGCATTGATTGTTGCCATGTTTTCTAGGTCTCGACTGGGTTCACTGGTCCAGCATGAGGCCGGTCTAAAGGGCTTGTCAGACAGTCCAGTGTGCAGGAGGCAACTGGGAGAGCCGGGGTTGGAACATGGTAGTCCTTTCTCTGTGTAGATTCACCTGGGTCTTGAGGCAGGCCAGCTGCCACACTACATTGCTTCGATATCAGGAAATGTAAAAACATCCCTAGGACTGCGACACCCCAATGCCTAGAAAGAAAAGTTAACATTATTGCTATCCTTATGGTATTTATTACATGCTTTTATTTTGACTTCCAGCTTAAAGAGCAAATTCTGGGTCAATGAACAAAGGTAAGAAGCTGTTTGGTGGGGGGGCGATTGAAATAGTTAATTTATAGATGTGACTGCTAGATCATTAAATTGGTTGCTGCTGGGGGGGGGAAGATAATATGATTTCACGTCCTATGCAGCAGTCTCACTATTTTTTTTTAGCATTAAGCGTGTTAGGGCAGTGCTGGCTGAGCCTGGGCGATCAGCCCTTGGAGGGAACCTGGGAAGTTCAACTCAGTAGGTGGCACTCTTTCCTCAGGGTCAGTCTTACAGTGATGACCTGAGAAGCTTCCAAAACACGGTGTCATAGGAAGTCCTGCTTCTCAAGTGAAGCAGATGCCAAACACTTATGGTCCTGGAACTTATTCTGTAGACTAGGCTGGTCTTGAACTCACAGAGATCCCCCTGCCTCTGCCTCTCAAGTGCTGGGATTAAAGACATGCTCCACCATGCCTGGAAAGACACTATTTTTATGATGAATTAGAATCTTAGATTGTAAGTGTAGATGTTCCCTGGCTTGTTCCATTTAAGTTTCAAGGGAACTGACCCAGCTCCAACATCCACCCTGTTCTTAGGGAATCCTGGAGGTTGTCTAAGCTACTCAGCATCTTTCGTACTTATGTATGTATTTTGGTGTATGTTTGGTTGAAAACACGCAAACCTGAAGATATCACAGCATCTGACTTCAGACTTCAGAGTCTATATACTGGTTCAAAGATATGTATATACATATACACACATGCGTGTAATGATTAATGAAAAAAGAGGCCATGGATTTGAGAAAAAGGAGGGCATATGGGAGGTTTTGGAGGGAGGAAAGGGAAGAAGAAAATGGTGTAATTATAGTATAATCTCAAAAATAAAAGAAATTAAAATATAGACACATAGACCAATGGAGTAAAATAGAGGACTCACACATAAATCCACACAGTTGCAGCTACCTGGTCCTTGACAAAACGCTCCTCTCTGTAATACGTGGTGCTGGAGTAACTAGTTATCCACATGTAGACAGCTGAAACTAGACTCCCCCTTCTTACTCTGTACAAAATTGATTCAAAATGGATCAGGGATCTTAGGGTAAGTCCTGAAACTTTGTACCTACTACAGGGAAGCTGCTTCAAGATACAAGCACAGGTGCAGGGTTGCTGCCAACTCAGGAAATAAGAGCAGAGTGAAGGCTTCAGTCAAACAAAGAAAGCAGTCACCAAAGGAAAGAGAGAGCCTCCAGAATGGAAGAAAATCTTTACCAGCTATTCCTTCAACCAGGGACTAATATCCACAATACATAAAGAACTCACAAAGTTAAATACCGGAAGAACAAATCAGCCAATAAATGAATAAACAACATCAACAGGTCTTTCTTAAAAGAAATACAAGTGGCCAGTAAATACATGAAGGACGTTCAACATCTTTAGCTACCAGGGAAACACAAATCAAAAGTACACTGAAATTCCATCTCTCCCCTTCAGAATGACTGTCACAAGGGAGGTAGATGACAACAAATGCCGTTGAGGATACAGAAGGGAAAGGAACCCTTCTGCATTGTATGTGGGAATGTACACTCAGCCACTATGGAAATCAGTACTGAGGTTCTTCCAAAAACTGAAAGTAGAGCTATGTTCAGTCTCCTGACACGTTTCCAAAGGAGTGTAAGTTAACATACCACAGAGATGTGTGCGCATCTACATTTACTGCCGCACTGTTTGCAACAGACAAGCTAAGGAATCCACCTAGAGGCCCATCAGAGGAAATGTGATGTGCGGGTTTATATGCACCGTAGAGAAGAACGAAGTCATGTCCTTCTCAGAAAAAGGCATGAAACCAGAGATCAAAATTAGCCAGATTTAGAAAGACAAATACATACTTTATCCCATAGGTGGAATCTAGGGTGTGGGTTTATTAGCTTTTAAATCTAGAGATAGAACTATTTGGAGAATAAAGGTTTGTAAAGTGGGACAGTGTTGCTCGATAGCCCGGACAATTCCCCCCATATTCACACCCCCCTACGGAATCTGGGGTCACCCTGGTGGGCATGAGCGTCATAGCATTGACAGGGGGCTCTCTTGCTGCCTTGCAGATATGGAGGGATTTCCATTGGAGGGACGCTCCCCGCCATCCCCATCACTGGGGATGCACTTGTCAGTTTCTTAAGTGACCTTGGCCAGATGATGAATGTGAGCGGGGTAGGTAAACAGACTGGAGTCTGGGGTCAAATTTTTGACTTGTTTCAATATTAAGAGATGGAAATTGTCCTACATACTACAGAAGGAGGGGATACAAGAAGAAACATTTTTTTTTTGTTATTCTGTTCTAGGGTCCTGTCACCAGAGAGGCCTCTAAAGAAATGTTAGATTTCCTCAAACATCTCGAAACTAAAAACAACATTAAGGTAACTGACCTGAAGCTAAAAATTCCTGTGAGCTCATTATTTGACTGTTTTTACCCTGCTTAATTAAATTCCATTCCCCCTGCTGAAACCAGGTGAGGAATGCCGGCCAAGTTCCTCCTCCTCCTCCTCCTCCTCCTCCTCCTCCTCCTCCTCCTCCTCCTCCTCCTCCGCTCACGGTCATTTTGTTGCTGGCCGCTTTTCGCTTTTCGTTTACACAGCCCGTTAGTGTCCTCTCTCTGGAGCCTGGGTTGTAGCTCAGCCCATCCAGTCAAGCCTCTCTGCCCTCTAGGTATGGTTTAACAACAAGGGCTGGCATGCCCTGGTCAGCTTCCTGAATGTGGCCCACAACGCCATCTTACGGGCCAGTCTGCCTAAGGACAGGGACCCCGAGGAGTATGGAATCACCGTCATCAGCCAGCCCCTGAACCTGACCAAGGAGCAGCTCTCGGAGATCACAGTGTGAGCTGCCACTAGCCCAGGCTCTCAGCTTCCTTCCTATCTTCTTCCCTCTCTGTGTTTTGGGTTTTTCTGTTTTTTTGGTTTTTTTGTTTGTTTGTTTTTTTTTAGTGCTGTGAGGTGCAGGGCTGGGTGGTAACTTTAATTGGGCTCATATGAATGCACCAGCTTCAAATGCTTCCTGTACCAAATTGCTTAGCTGTTCTTTCCCCTCTCCGTTTATTTGGAAAGTAAACTAACACTTTACGCTGTTCCTTTTGGGCCCTCGATAACAAGTTCCTCCCGAATTACACCCCTAGCCTCCTTGCCAGTACACAAAGAACCTGCCAGGACCTGGAAGGTTCAGGGAGGCTCCTTCATTTCCCTGGAAGAGTTGTAGATTCTGGGAATTTCCCGCAGATAGCCATGCTTTGGAGCTGTTTGCTTTCCTCAAGATTGGGCCCTCATGTCAGCCCCAGGCAGGAAGAACATTGATGGGTCTTGTGTATGTGACACCGTTTGCTCTATTTGAGGCCTATAGACAAGAGGACTTAGGAGGTTTTGTTTTGTTTTTTAAGTTTTTCAAGACAGGGTTTCTCTGTGTAGCCCTGGTTATTCCGAAACTTGCTCTGTAGACCAGGCTGGACTCAAATTTATAGAGATCTGCCTGCCTCTGCCTCCCAAGTGCTGGGATCAAAGGCGTGCGCCACCACTGCCTGGCTAGGAGAAGCATTTTGTGAGTGCAAACTTCTAGGAAGCTAGCAGAACCTCCTAGAATTCAGTCAGGATTCAGTGTCTACCTACTCCCAAGCCAAATGCCTTCTGCGTGGCCCCAGAGACCAATCTTACATAACTAGGCTCATATCCCTTGAGTTTACATGTGACCATTTCCCATGACATGTGATTTCAGAGAACAGAAGTCTGTCTGTACCTGTGGGAAACTCAAGAGTCTATAGAAAAATTCAGAGCTAAAAATTTGCAATTGCTACAAATGTTCATTTATGAACTTATTCATAAATAAGTAGAAGTAAAATAAGAAGGAAGGTTGTCTAGAATGTTCTCATGAATCAAAAAAGTAACCTACAAAAATATCCACTTAACCTCAATGAAGACAATTCTGTGGATGAAGAGCTTCAAATGAGGGGTGGGGGTGGATAAGGGCTGCCCAGAGCTTTCTCTGTACCTTCTCTGGGTTTCTGACGTCCCCTGTCTCCGGTCCCGCTGCAGGCTGACCACCTCGGTGGATGTCGTCCTTGCCATCTGCGTGATTTTCGCCATGTCCTTCGTTCCAGCCAGCTTTGTCCTTTACTTGATTCAGGAGAGGGTGACAAAAGCCAAGCATTTGCAGTTTATCAGCGGTGTGAGCCCCGCCACCTACTGGCTGACCAACTTCCTCTGGGATATTGTGAGTGCCAGGCCGTCCCTAGCCTCCAGGGGCCCAGGGTGGGACTGGTGTATGTCTGGGCAGGAGGGCTGCTGGGGCGATGGTCTCGTGACTGCTAGCCCTTGACATCTTCTTAAAAAGGCAGTTGAGAACGAATCCTCGGGAAGACCACAGAACACAGTTAATAGCCACTGAGTAGGGACACTCTGTGTCCATCACCAAGAGGGCTCTGATCCACCCCAGGATCTCTATGTGCCAGAGATGAGGCTGATCTTTCTGTCAGTAGCATGGGTCTGAACAGGTAATACCTAAGGGACTCTTCATCCATCATCTCCTCCTTAAGTCCTGTCTCAACCTCCTAAAAGAGGAAGGTAGAACTTCCTTATGATAGGGTCACCAGATAAACATAGGCTAACCACCAACTCTGATCTCAGGACAAACAATGAATAACCCATAGCATAAATATTTAGAATTTATATATCCCAATTCAATTATTGCACAGTACATATTTATACTAAAAGTTATTGGCTGCCTATCAGAAATTCAAATTTAATTGGGCATTCTATATTTTAATTTGTCAAATCTGGGGACACTGCCCAGAAGCCTTATTTTACTTCTTCAAAGTAACTAGGGGCTAGTGAGATGGCTCAGCAGGTAAAGGTGCTTGCCACACAAGCCTGATGACCCAAGTTCAATCCCTGGAACCCATGTAAAGGTAGAAAGAGAGAAATGACCCCAGAAAAGTATTCTCTGCCTTCACCACATAATGTGGTTATGGCATGTGCACCCATGCATGTCATACACACATACTCACACAATGATTACTTTAAGTGACCAGATCCCCACTGTATTAGATCAGCTGCCATGTCAGGGAAAATTAAGGAAAAAACAAACAAACATCAGATCAACAGCAAACAGCAATCAATGTTGGTGGGGGCAGAGGGTCATTAGAATGCTGTATATATAATTACAGGCCACAGGATCAAAAGGAACCGTTGTTAACTGAGTCTAGTTATAATGTAGTTATAATCTAGTCATAATGTAGCTATAATCTAGTTATAATTCTTGGCATCTTGAATAATGAGATCATTGAGTCTTTCTCACTATGTAGCCCTGGCTGGCTTGGAACTGGATGTGTAGACCAGGTTGGCCTCAAACTCACAGAGATCTGCCTGCTTCTGCCACCCAAGTTCTGGGATTAAAGATGTGTATCACCACACCTGGCCCATGAGATCGTTGTTTTATCTCAACAAGGACAAAATGAGGCTTCTCTCATGAGGATAAAACGTACCGGCTCATGGAGACCAGCACGAATGACCCTCTCCCTGTGCCTTTTATTAATGATGCTGAATATAAAGTTCTTGGTGACATGGTTCCTTTGAGCTCACTCAACTTACTACGTAGTTATCACTTAACAATACAAAACTGGAAAACTTCACTAGCAACTGAATTATTTCCTTTCTCGTCTGCCTACATAAAAGCTCACTCCCAGGAGCAAGGGCAGCTGAGGATCTACGAGCTTCTTCTCTTGGTGTTGTGATTTTAGCAGGAAAGGAGTTGGGCTGACCTACCTTAAAAAGCTAACTGCTAAAACTGTTGACTTTCTATCTTACTATTTTTTTAATTTCTAAATATTTTTTATTTTTATTTTTTTTGTTTGTTTGTTTTTTGAGACAAGGTTTCCCTGTGTAACAGTCCTGGCTGTCCTCAGATTCACAGAGATCTGCCTGGCTCTGCCTCCCAAGTGCTGGAATTAAAGACATGTGCCACCAACTGCCCAGCTAAAATGAGTCTAGGATCTTTTTTTTAAAATATATTTTGTATTTTATGTGTGTTAGGTATGTGAGTGTTTGCCTGTGTGATACATGCACCAAATGCATGGTTGGTGCTCAGGAGAGAGCATCAGATCACCTGAAACTGGAGTTACCGTTGATAGTCGATATAGGTGTTGGGAATCCAACCTGAGTCCTCTGCAAGAGCAGCAAATGTTCTTCACAGTTGAGCTATTTCTCTAGCCCCTGTTTTACTGTTTTAAAGATGAGGTATGCAGTTTACACTTGGGACTGGCCTATGTGTATACTTACGGCTGCAAAGAGAGGTCTTGGAGCCTGTAGAAAGGCATGGCTACAAGGAAGGGATGGACATCTCAGGCAGAGGTGTCACTGGCAAAGTAGATAACAGCTCATTCTTTCAAGGACCAGAAGATGTTAGCATTGGCAGGCTTCCTGACACTCTAGAGATTTATAGCTCACTGGCAGTCTGAGCTCTGAGGTCGAGAATTAAAGTACTCATTATTTCATTGGTCAGTGAAAGAAGGCAGTGCATGCCTGGAGAGCCATTGTTGAAGTGACAATGAACTGTTTATATCATACACTCAGCACACCTGTGACACTGTGAATGCCTGTCCTTCATGTGTCTTGTTTTTCTTTTAAATGCTGAAGCAGTGTTAGACCCATGGCCTGGCAAGCACAGCTTAAAGCCTTTTGAGTTGGCTGAAAGTGTCTTTCGTTCTTTTTAAGAATGAAGCAAGTCATTGACTCTTCGTTCCAATGCTTCTCGTTGGCAGCTCCACAACTCCCATAATTCTGTCTAGATCTCTCTGTCCCTGAGGTGTCGTCTTGTGGCCCCGAACTTAGTCCTTTTCCACCATTTTCATCCCCTGTAGGACTTGGAAGACACAGTCTTAGAGCCTCTGCTGAAGTGGCAGGGCATGATACCATTTCTCTGATGTCCTTTGAAGATTTCGGTGATGGATCCAACCCCAGCATTATCCCAGGTGTACAGGGACTGCTCGGAGGAAGCAGCTCTTGTGGAGAACTATCTCTCACCATAGAGAATGAGCTCTTTATGTTTGGCCACTTTGGCTGTGTCCTTCCATGCAGGAACTTTCAGCTTCCCAGACTTTCTGAGGAATGTTGCCAGAGCTCTGACACACTCCTGCTGGTTGACGTCTTTTACACAAATTCCAGGCATCCTGAAGTCTCTGGGCTGCTAGCCAGGGGAAAGGGGATGAAACACAATGTGTGTGTGTGTGTGTGTGTGTGTGTGTGTGTGTGTGTGTGTGTGTGTGTGTGTGTGTGTGTATCTGTACGTATGTGTCCTCTCTGTCTCTCTTTCATACACACACACACACACACACACCTCTAGTGTGTACCTCTACAAAGAAGGGCACACCTTCATACGAATGCCTTGCACTATGACATCCTATCTTTTTATCTCCTTCAACCTGAAACAGTTCCTGAGTCTCCCCTTAACACACATGGCCTGACCCATTGGAAGATTACAAGGCAGTTATTTGGCAGTATGCCTTTCAGTTTGGGGCGACCTGAGGTCCTCATGACCAGACTGAGGTCATGTGTCCTTGACAGCAGTGTTGGGGTGCAGAAGCCGGGCTTTCATTGCATCCTATCAGTTTGGATCTGATTTCAGCTTGTCCCCGTTTTGAGGGTGTTCACTTTGTCACTTAAGAAGGTGCTTGCCCAGCGTCTCCACCAGAAGAATTATTTTTTATTATTGATGAGAACCTTACAAGGCACTTTGAAGATATGCAAATATCTGGTTTGTTAGCAAATTTTCCACTTGTTCATTTATTTATGTCTATGTGCAGTCATGGCTCTTGTTAACCAGTGGATTACAATCCGATACTACTATTATTCAGTTTAATATAGAGACAATCAACAATGTGGCCAGTAGGAACTCCTCCAAGATGCCTTTTATGTCTGATTGACTTGTATCCATCTTCCTCGAGTACCTCACTACCCCTGACTGCAAGAGACCCCAGGCTCAACCTGTACCACCCCTGAAACCAGATGTTTCCCCAAGGGATCCTGGCTCATTTCAGTGGGAAGGAGCCTTCATAAACCAAGATCTGGGCACCAGGCTTCTTCATTGCCACCAAGAGAGTATTGATGGCAAGGCTTCTAAGTAGATAGAACCAGAGAAGACGTTTGCATCCATACACAGATTTACACCGTGTTCCACAGTCTCTCTATTCACTCTGTGATGCTCACCTCTAACTCAAGTCTACTACTGAAGAGTTCATGCTAGTTTTCTGACTTTCCAATCTCATGACTCTCTTTTCCGAGTAAGAAACTGGCTCTACCACCCTCAGTCATTTACCTAATCGAGCGATATATACACTTGTAGTGGGTGCTCCATCTCTGCTCTGGTTGCTTCTCTGTAGGAATACCCTCTTCCTCTCCCTGCTCCAGCTGCTATGTGGAGGAGGAGGTCCTCCTTATTCTACCCTGGTGCTGATGTTCCATGTGGCTCAACCCCCAATACAGACACTTTCCTCACCCAGGGTATTATGGGTCAGAGTCTGGAATGGGTGCTCTCAGGTTCTTGGCTCCTGTTTAAGAATGAAATAAAAGCCTATGCAGGGGATGGAGAGAGGGCTCAGTGGTTAAGAGTGCTTGCTGCTCTTGCAGGGGTCCTGGGTTCAGTTCCCAGCACCCACATGTAACAACTGCTGACTCCAGTTCCAGAGGATCTGATGACCTCTTCTGGTTTGTTAGCAAACTGTATGCACATAGTGCACAGACATACATTCAGGCAAAACATTCATTCATATATATATATATATATATATATATATATATATATATGTGTGTGTGTGTGTGTGTGTAAAAAACAGTCCTACACAGACTGCAAAGACATTTTATTTAGAGTAAGCAATAGACCGGATCAGATACACTGTCAAGATTGACAGAAGGCCAAACAAGTGAGGCAATCAAAGGCCCCAGTTATTTTAGGGGTTCAAAAGGAGGTGACTTGCTTGGTGGAGTACAGAAGTTTCTGCTTTGATAGACTAGGATTGTGTAAATCTTTGCTTAAGGTGCATGCCCCTCCCGATTTTAGTCATGCGCATGCCCAGTTATACATAGGCAGAAGACAGTAAATAGGGAGTTTCTCCTAAAAGTTTACTTGGGTGTACAGTTTTGCCTTATTGTACCTGTACCTCTCCCCAGTTTAGGCTGGATAGGTCCATTACCTGTAATTCCAAGACCGTGTTCCAGGAAGTCTGGAATCTAAATGGGTCGTATCAAGGGACTGCTAAGAGGGAGTAACTTATTTCCATTGTTTAAAACAGGTGTGCATGCGACTTGATTTAGGCAGGAGACCTAAGTTGCTAACAAGTTTGTGGGTGTATTGTTTGGAGATGGGTGTGTGTATAGCCCAAGCCAAGTGGAGCCCCAGGCTGCTAAGCTAGTCCCTACGCTTGTCTGTCTCAACAGGGCCTCTGGCACCCATCCAGTGCCCTCCTCACTCTTACCAGGTTTCACCCTGGTAGAGACCTAATCTTACCATGCTGCCTATCTTTCCAAGCCTGACCTAATAATGTCTTTAAAACCTCATTGTTTAGAAGAGTTACACCCAATTTGTGAGTTTCTCAAAGCCAAGGACTATATTTTAAGCTTTTCTAAATTCTGGAGACATGTATGGAAAGGATAGCCATCAGGGCTTTATGACCAGTTAGTGAGAGAGAGTAAGAGATCGCATAGACTTTCATAGCCATCCTTTGCAAAGATACAGACTGATGGCCTTTGAACAGGAGTAGAAAAGAGATTGTAAGTGAACTATGAACAGCTTAACCTATATCTTAACTCTGTATCTACTAACCAAAAACTGTTTAGACAAGTGGATTCAATCCCAGACCACAGGACCTGGAGGAGCCCTGGTCCCCAGGTCATAGAGTTTCAGTGACATACTGTCTCCTCTCTTCAAGATGAATTACGCTGTGAGTGCGGGGCTGGTGGTGGGCATCTTCATTGGATTTCAAAAGAAAGCCTACACATCTGCGGACAACCTTCCTGCTCTCGCAGCTCTGCTCATGCTGTATGGGTAAGCCGTCTGGGCCAGGGGAGGAGATATTTTCTTCTGACAGTGAACTTCGGTCCTCTTGTAGTGGGGGCACATGCAAGCCTAGTTTCCAGCCCCAGAAGCTTCGGTGGAGCTAATCAGAAATCTGTCTGGCTCACCCCGGCCATGTAATTCTGAGTCCTAGTCCATTCAGGGAAAGAGATAGTCTGAATCTTCTTCACTTCCAACTGTCGCCTTGATCAAAGTCTGGGACTCGATCTCTCTCCACTTCCTCCCCAGCTCTGATTTCCATTCCCTCTGTGGGCAAGCTGCCCAGTGTGGTGTCTCTCTCTGTGCTTGCCAAGAATTGTCTGCCTACCAAAGAAGATTCCAGGCCATAACACTACCCCCATATCAGGCTAGAAGATGACGTAGAGAGCAAATCCAATCGAATTACGGAGCACAGGGCACAGCTTTGTAACCCTGGACTACCGCTTGCTATAGGTTTAACTGTGGGCAGATAATCCGTTTAACTGGACCTCAGGCTCCTTGTCTATAAAAAAGATGATGGTTGGCTCTTCCTTACGTAGAGAGCAGAGTCTTACCAGAACAATGGCCTCCATTCATCCCAGAACAATGGCCTCCATTCATCTCTCTTGAAAATGGACTCAGAAGCCAGCTTGACTGTGAACTATGAAATGAGCTGTGAAGATGAGTTCTTGGGACCTTCAGTTCTGCTTTCCCTGCAGTAGAGAGCATTGCCATGGGTGGCCTCTGAGCTTTATGGCTTGTAAAGTTCACACATAGCTCCTGCCTCATTTGCTCCTCATAAAACTCATGAGATGGTCAGGGCAAGCATCATCGGCTCCTTTTGAAGATGAGGCACAAAAACCAATGAAGTGTTTCCTTTCTCTCCCTGGGACCCCAGCCAGTTCAAATATGTCACCTGGTATAAAGAGGTCTAGTTAACAGGATGGGTCTTGGAACTCTCTCCCTCTGAGCTGTGTCATCTCACACAGATGGGCAGTCATCCCCATGATGTACCCAGCATCCTTCCTGTTTGACGTCCCCAGCACAGCCTATGTGGCTTTGGCCTGTGCTAACCTGTTCATCGGCATCAACAGCAGCGCCATCACCTTCGTCCTGGAATTGTTTGAGAATAACCGGGTGAGCAGAGCTTTCTTGGCTCCTTGGTTTAATTAGTAGGATGTTAGAGCAGATTCACCGGTTCCCAGAGCCATGGCAAACACTGTGCATGCAGATTTATGTGCACAGATGAGCAGGGCTGCCTCCCCTCCCCTCCCCCGGCATACTCCCTTCTCTTGCCTCTTGATTTATGTGCTCTGAGAGCCATGGTTCTGTGCGCCTCTTCTTTAAGCTATATATATTCACTCATGATTCTAACTTTTTAGATTAAAGCTAGAAAGTTTCCCCAGGAGGATTTAGGTTGTGTGTGCACAAATACACACACACACACACACACACACACACACGACAACATACTAGCATATACTGTCTGTCCTGCTCCCAAGGAAATCCTGAGGACAGGATTAGGAAATCCTGGTGCTGAATGACTCTGTTTACAACCTAGGAGTCCACTTGCCCTGTCTACACCCCCTGACTTCTCCCTGTCCAGAAGGGGGTGCCAGACAGAACCCTTAAAAAAGAGGAGAGTAGGTGGCTACAGAGCTGTCTTTATCCCTCACTCCTTATGGTTACTGTCCTACTTTGCCTGTGCCGTGCTCTGCCTATGCCATGCTCTGCCTGTGCAGTGCTCTGGCTGTGCCGTGCTCTGGCCGTGCTGTGCTCTGGCCGTGCCGTGCTCTGGCCGTGCCGTGCTCTGCCTGTGCCGTGCTCTGGCTGTGCCGTGCTCTGGCCGTGCCGTGCTCTGCCTATGCCATGCTCTGCCTGTGCAGTGCTCTGGCCGTGCCGTGCTCTGGCCGTGCCGTGCTCTGCCTGTGCCATGCTCTGGCCGTGCCGTGCTCTGCCTGTGCCGTGCTCTGGCTGTGCCGTGCTCTGCCTGTGCCGTGCTCTGGCTGTGCCGTGCTCTGGCTGTGCCGTGCTCTGCCTATGCCATGCTCTGGCTGTGCCGTGCTCTGGCTGTGCCGTGCCCTGGCTGTGCCGTGCTCTGGCCGTGTCGTGCTCTGCCTGTGCCGTGCTCTGGCTGTGCCGTGCTCTGGCCGTGCCGTGCTCTGGCTGTGCCGTGCTCTGGCTGTCCTCCCAGCAATCCAGCTCCCTGGTGTGGTGGTGGCCTGTGTCCTCAAGTGTCTCCTTAGCCTGTCCTTTTCTCACTAGTTCCTCACAGGTCAGAGGGTGGCCACACATCCGCACTGAGTGCTGCCAGAGGCCAGAGGCCCTGGCCTTGCTCTGTGAAGGCCCTGGAGCCCACCTGCTCACAAGGGGACAGGTAGCTTCGGCCTCCACTCTCAACAGCCTGCTTCTCTTCTCAGACGCTGCTCAGGTTCAACGCCATGTTGAGGAAGCTGCTCATTGTCTTTCCCCACTTCTGCCTGGGCAGAGGCCTCATCGACCTGGCACTGAGCCAGGCTGTGACAGACGTCTATGCCCAGTTTGGTGGGTAGCATCCTAGGTCTGTGAGTCACAACCATGGAGCCATCCAGGCTGGGAAAGCTACAAGGGTTCTGATGTCAGACCTGCAGCCTAGAGGCCGGGAGGGCACCGAAATGCTGGTCAGGCACAATGCTGCCACTTGGAAGGGATTGGGGTGCCTCTGTTTCTGTGGCTGGGGAGCCACAGGTGGGGCCAAGGACAAGATTTTACCCTCCTAAACTTTGACCCGGGGAGCCAAGAGGAACTTGATTTGGGGTCTCCTTTAGGCTCTGGCCTGGGTATCTGGGTCGTAGTCGGGTCCTCATGGGTGAGCCCGGGAGCCCTAATGCAGACTTTATTCCCGCTAATGGCCTCTTGCTTCCATCCCCAGGTGAGGAGTACTCTTCCAACCCATTCCAGTGGGACCTGATTGGGAAGAATCTGGTTGCTATGGCAATAGAAGGGGTGGTATACTTCCTTCTGACACTCCTCATCCAGCACCACTTTTTCCTCACCCGGTGGTACGTCTTACTGCGCCCCAAGGTGCCATCTGGTAGCGAGTGTTTCCAACCCTGGGCTTCACATCAGCATGGTTCTCAGAAACTGCATTCTGATTTTTTTTTTCTTCATTCTTAAGGCCTACTTGTTCTGCATACTACAGGAGAGAAGAGTTAAAATGGGCCTGTTAGAATTTGAGACAAGTCTCTTCTTCAAACTTTTAGAACTATAATGGTTTCATTTCAGTTACTAATACTTAACCTTCTTGTATCGTTACCACATCCCTGTCTTAAACTGGATGCTAGCACTGTAAATAAGGATTACTGTGGAATATCCAAGATATGAGGAAGCAGGGTTTTGACCTATGAGGAGTGAGACAAAACAAACTCCCTTGCTAGCTGGAACGTGGAGTGCAGGAGTCCCTTTGGGTCCTGGTGATGGGTGAGGACAGCCGGGGACCTAGGGAGAAGAGAAAGAAAGCAATCCAGCCTCCATGCCCATCTCCAAGCAAGATGTTTGCCAACCCTAGAATTTCCAGAACATCTCAAAGATCAGCTCAGCCAGCTCATGCTCCTGCCTCGCCATTCTTCCCCAGGCTCTTCTCCAGCCCTGCCTGCCTCATGCTGACAACCCCTTCAGAGGGCCACACACCCAGGGCCCTGAGTCGCAATCGCCCAGGCCCTCCCTAAGAACTTTTATGACAATTTTCTTGTTGTTTCTTAACCTTTCCTTCTCTCGGGGTGAGTTTGATAACATGTAAATAAAAGGGTCTCCAGGCTGGGTGCTTAAAAATAACCTACTTCCCTAATGACGGGGTTGAGAGGGCTGAGAAAGAAAAGAAATCAACACACATGGAATAAACAGTCAGTGGTGCTTCAGTTATGGGCCAGACTGTGAGAACCTATGGGTGGGCCTCCCAGCTCTTTGCAGACCCCTCAAAAGTGTTGTCCATAAGGTTTAAAAGAGAAGAGGGGAAGAGAGTTGATTTCCAAAACTAAGTCGTTTTAAACTATGATACTGCCACAATTAAGTGAGCCCTAGAGGATCAGAGAGGCCTGGTTTCCAGACACTCAACACCTACACCCACACCGATGATTAACAAGCACAGAGAGTGGAAGGAAAGAAGGAAGAAAGGATGCTCTGGGGAGAGGACAAGGCCTGCACAAAAGTACAGTAGCCCCAGAGAGTAAGAGTAAAGCATGGGATGAAGGAACTCCCAGGGAGTCATGGAACAGGAAGGGGAGGGGGTACAGGATGGGTACAGAGGGAAGACGGTGTTGGGTCGTGAAGTGCTCCTCATCTTGATGACTTGGGACTCAAGTCTAAGAGCAGCATGAAGTCCCTGGGGGCTTTTAACCAGGGAGTGACGTGATCATGATCTTACCACAGCTGGGAGGTGAGAGAGGAGCTCACGCTGATATGCAAAAGAGACAGCAGTGACCAGGATGGGGACGGAGGCCCTGGGCAATGATAGAGAAAATCAGAAGAAAGTCCTTTAGACAAGAGTTAGTGATAGATCAGATGTGGTCCGTGAGGGAGGAGAGAAAGGCTGAAGCCCTAGGCCAGGCATGCCTACCTTACAGCCTACTGGCTGCATGCATCCAAGGGGAGCTATGAGTATAGCATGATGCACTTGTAGAGGACAATGTCATATATCTGTGTCAAAAGGTTGGACACTCGGCACATAGGTGGTCAGAAGGATTTCCAGAGGAGCAAGATTCTCTTGGCAGGGCAGAAGGAAGAGAACATGCTGAGGCTAGCAAGGGGGAATGGCCTGCATGAGGTAGGGACCAGAGCACATGCCAATGGTTGGTAGAGAAGTGAGTGCATTAAAAATGTGCAGATGGCAAAGGCTTGTGGGACCTGCCTGCAGGACACGGAAGCTTGGAGAATTAGACTTGGAACTTACAGCTTACAAAGAACCAAGAAATCTTTGGAAGCATGAACTTACAGCTTACAAAGAACCAAGAAATCTTTGGAAGATGACAAGGCTATCTTGACATTGGGTCAGTAGGGAAGGCTGCAGGAAGAAGGAAGGGCTGGTAGATAATAGCTCACTGACATTTCACTTGCCACAGAGAAAAGCTTTTAATAATGCAACACGAGCTTCCACCAGGCATCATTCAGAGTTCATCTTCACACATCCCTGAGATAGCCTTCTTCCTTCCCCTTCACATGCTTGAAGAAGGCAAGGCCCAGAGAGGTCTGGCAGCAAGCACAAAGTCATGCATGAGGAGGCAGGGCTGCCATGCAGGGCTGATTTGAGCAGAAGCACGTGACCTCTCTGCCTAGTGTCCCTCCTGTCAGGAGCCATTTTGACAATAGACTTAGAGGAAAGAAGTCCAGGGAAGTAAAAATGGGGGATGGGATGACAGGTGAAGCGGACATTGTGATGGTTACTGCATTCCCAGCCCAATCTTGTCCACATTCCTTCCTCTAGGGTCGCTGAGCCCGCTAGAGAGCCCATTTTTGATGAAGACGATGATGTGGCTGAAGAAAGACAAAGAATTACTAGTGGGGGAAATAAAACTGACATCTTAAGGTTAAATGAACTAACCAAGGTGAGGGGCACAAGTGGAAAATATCATCTTGGAGGTACGAGCTGACCCACACATGGCATGGGACCATCCTGTTGTCCTGTACAACAAGCATGCCATCTCTGTATTGTCACTTGCCGTCCAGGAGCACCTGTTTCCCATGGTACTGTCCCTGCTGTTCATCTTGGGTACTGCAGGGCCTCCAGAAGAGCTTCTCCAACTGAGTGTCAGCATCTGCTCTCTGTTCAGTGTGTGCGTCGCATGGTCCTCCCTCCACACCTCTCCTGTCGTGGCTCCTCTCCTGTCACCATGTTAATGTGTGACCTCCTAGCGTTGGTGGCTTTCTCCCAAAACACTCTTTGCTGCCTTCTGCTCTTGGCCCACTGTCCCGCTCTACCCCTGTCTTGGTCTTCAGCCCGGTTTCCTTGCACCTTCCAGGTTTACTCCGGCTCTTCCAGTCCAGCCGTAGACAGGTTATGTGTCAGAGTCCGTCCTGGAGAGGTGGGTACCATACAGACTAGCTCTTGAGAAAAACCAGCCCTTAACCATGAATCTTCTCCCTCCTAGCAGAGCTGGACGATAGGAATCTAATGAAAGCCAAACTTTCTAGTAGATACAGGGAAAAAGAAAACAGAATAAATTTACTGTTTTTATTTTTCTCAATATAGCTAAAATATTTCAATGTGTAATTACTATAAAATAGTACTGAGATATTTTTCATTTTTCTTTGTTGTTCTTGTTCTAAGTCTTCAAAGCCAGTGTGTTACATACACACTTAGCACCCATGTCAGTTAGGATTAGGTGTGCTTTCTGTTGGTAGCCACACATGACCAATAATCTCAGGGACGGCAGCCCAGGTATAAAACGACACTTCCAGCTCTTGCACTGGCCTGGGGTCTGGCAGTGGAGACCTCCTTGGTCACTAGGGCAACACCTGTTCTCTGTTTTCTCCTAGTGCTTTGGGCTCCTGGGAGTGAACGGTGCAGGGAAAACCACCACATTCAAGATGCTCACTGGGGACACCACAGTGACATCAGGCGATGCTACCATAGCAGGCAAGAGGTGAGTGCTCTGTCCTGCCTGTGGTAGAGTGTTCCCCCACAGGCCATGTTTCTCAGTCACATGCCAGAGTAACTCTGAGACCTCCCACAGAATGTGATTAAGAAATACACAAGACAGAGGCACACTGGGAAACCAAACTACACTGTATGGCTCAAAGAGTGTTCTTAGCATGGATTCCTAGAAAGTTCTGGGAAACACTAAGCCAGTGCTTCTTCTTCTCTGTGGGCTATAAACTCCTTTCAGCAACCGATGAGCCCTGCGTCATCTGCCGCTGTAAGAATATTCCATAGCCTCCCATTATCTCCCTCCTGACAGTTTACAAAGCTCTGAGGAATTTATTGAGTCCTGGGGTATACCCATGATCCCTCTGCAGCCTCTGGATCCCAGGTTAAGAACTCCCGGGATAATACATCCTTTCTCTAGGTTGAGTTTCAGAATGGAGGTCCTCATTCAAGGGACCTCGGGAGGACTTTATCAGATTTGGCTGTTGGTATGCCAATCCTTTCTCTCATCAGACTAAGGAAAGTTGAGAAAGAGAAAGCTGGCTGTATCCTTGGCTTCTGGAGAGTCACTATGGCCTCTGGAATAATGTGAGTTTAAACAGACTTGTCCTCTAGGAGGCAGGGCAGGGAAGAGGATGAATGGCCTCATTGCGGGCTGCTCCTGAACAGCAGTGCTCCCACACAGTGAGGGTGCTCACACAGTGAGGGTATTCACACAGTGAGGGTGCTCACGCAGTGAGGATGTTCATACAGTGAGGGTGCTCACACAGTGAGGGTGCTCACACAGTGAGGGTGCTCATACAGTGAGAGTGCTCACGCAGTGAGGGTGCTCACACGGTGAGGGTGCTCATACAGTGAGAGTGCTCACGCAGTGAGGGTGCTCACACGGTGAGGGTGTTCACGCAGTGAGAGTGTTCACGCAGTGAGGGTGCTCACACAGTGAGGGTATTCACACAGTGAGGGTGTTCACACAGTAAGGGTGCTCACACGGTGAGGGTGCTCACACAGTGAGGGTGCTCACACAGTGAGGGTGCTCATACAGTGAGGGTATTCACGCAGTGAGGGTGCTCACGCAGTGAGGATGTTCATACAGTGAGGGTGCTCACACAGTGAGGGTGTTCACACAGTAAGGGTGTTCATACAGTGAGGATGTTCACTCAGTGAGGGTGCTCACACAGTGAGGGTGCTCACACAGTGAGGGTGCTCACACAGTGAGGGTGCTCATACAGTGAGGGTATTCACGCAGTGAGGGTGCTCACGCAGTGAGGGTGCTCACACAGTGAGGGTGCTCACACAGTGAGGGTGTTCACACAGTAAGGGTGTTCATACAGTGAGGGTGCTCACGCAGTGAGGGTGCTCACACAGTGAGGGTGCTCACACAGTGAGGGTGCTCATACAGTGAGGGTGCTCACACAGTGAGGGTGCTCACACAGTGAGGGTGCTCATACAGTGAGGGTGCTCACACAGTGAGGGTGCTCATACAGTGAGGGTGCTCACGCAGTGAGGGTTCATACAGTGAGGGTGCTCACACAGTGAGGGTGCTCACACAGTGAGGGTGCTCATACAGTGAGGGTGCTCACGCAGTGAGGGTTCATACAGTGAGGGTGCTCACACAGTGAGGGTGCTCATACAGTGAGGGTGCTCACGCAGTGAGGGTGCTCACACAGTAAGGGTGCTCATGCAGTGAGGGTGCTCACGCAGTGATGGTGCTCATACAATGAGGGTGCTCACTCAGTGAGGGTGTTCATACAGTGAGGATGTTCACTCAGTGAGGGTTCATACAGTGAGGGTGCTCACACAGTGAGGGTGCTCACACAGTGAGGGTGTTCATGCAGCGAGGGTGCTCACGCAGTGAGGATGCTCACAGCCCTCTGTTCCAGTTTATAAGTGGGGACAGACACTGCTGACAGCTCCCTGGCATCTGCTTGACTAAGACCCCTTTTTTTTGCCAAAAAGCCCTGCTCAACACAGCCCAGTGGGCAGCCAGAGTCCTGAGCACACCTCTGGGACTCAGATACAGTGAATCCAGGGTCCCAGCCCTCCATGGCCGTGTCTGGTGGATCTGAAGCAAACAGATTACAAAGACAGAGCCAGGTCATGACTGAGTGTATGTCATCTGCCACCAAGCGAGCGACTCCACAGTGATAACAGCAGGAGTTGTGGAGAGAGGGTTCAGTGGGGGATGTAATAGGAAGTTATTAAGTGACACCAGTTTTAGTACAGGTGAGACATGGCCTGATATCCTAAGGTAAAACTGAGCTGCAAGTTAGAAAGCCAAGGTTTAAAGACTGCAGCTCTCGGGTGGGATAACTCCTGTGCGTTTGGCAAGGTTGCTTCCTTGTTTCCCTGGGTGGTTTCAACTGACCAACCTATACCTTGAGTGACTTTTGTCACAGTGAGGAACTGCAATGGACTCTCTCTGTCCCATCCTGTTCTAGCCATCCTTTATTAATAAGCCCTAAGCTATGAGGGGTTAGACGAAGGTGATTAGACAAAATAATTTATGTACACTTTTGTTGTTATTGTTGAAGTCATTTCTAGTGGGGAATCTAATGGATTCATCAGATGGAGAAGATAGAACCCTATTCTGCTGGGTAGTTATCTGATTGTCTCTCCCTGTCTGCCAATAAATACAGAGGAAGGAGCCGACTTCCACTGGGAGACATCCACCTTTCCCAAGCTACTCCCCGAATGTCTGGAAAGGATTAGGATCCATTGATGATCCATTGATCATCTCTTAAACCTTTGTTTTTAAGCCCTCACGCCAGGTGATCCAACCTAATCATTTGAGTGGCAATTCATCTTAGATGTGGACACTCGGAAGGGTCCGACTAGTTTTAAAACTCAGCACTCCTGAAGTTCATGCTTCCAACTGTAGGATCCCCACTTTGATTTCCAAATTCCGTGTGCATTTCTAAAATGGAGGTCATGCCCCAGTGGCGGAAGCCTCTCTGGCTCCTGCTCTCCGGTCACCCCCTTTATGAAGGAAAACTCACTAATTGCTCTGTCTTCTTGCAGCATTTTAACCAATATTTCTGATGTCCATCAAAACATGGGCTACTGTCCTCAGTTTGATGCAATTGATGACCTGCTCACAGGCCGAGAACACCTTTACCTCTATGCCAGGCTGCGGGGCGTGCCAGCAGAGGACATTGAGAAGGTGAACATCAGTTTGTTGTGACCACAGGGGAGATTGGCAAACTCTATGCCTACTTTAGGAAGCACTATCATTTAGAGACAGGAAACTGGGCACGCTATCCACCCATTCCAGCAAATAGTCATGTTCACCATTTGCCAACTGCTGACCTAGAAGCTGGATAGAACAGTGAACAAAACAGGCACACACATAGCAAGTCCCTGCCCTGGAGTCTATCTGGTAGTGCATGCATCTGTCTTTTTTTTTTTTTTTTTTTTTTTTTTGCATCTGTCTTTTAACCCAGCAATCAACATTCTTGAAATTCACCCTGAAGACACACATGTCAAAGTATAAAATGCATAAGCACAAAGTTATTCATTACACCTGCAATTGTAAAATACTGGATACCACCTAAATATGTAGGTGTAGTTGGCTGGATACATGTGATACACGTGACAGTCTTATGCAGCTATAGAGAAGATCTCTGTGGTCTATTATAGACTTATTGCCAATGTTATTTCTAATATTACTGTATGAGAAGAGGCAAGGTGTGAAGGTGAACATGTGGGATGCTACTTTTTTTTTTTTTTTTTTTTTTTTTTTTTTTTTTTTGGTTTTTCGAGACAGGGTTTCTCTGTGTAGCTTTGCGCCTTTCCTGGTACTCGCTTTGGAGACCAGGCTGGCCTCGAACTCACAGAGATCCGCCTGGCTCTGCCTCCCGAGTGCTGGGATTAAAGGCGTGCGCCACCACCGCCCGGCTGTGGGATGCTACTTTTATGTAAGAAAGTAGGAAAATAAAGAAGCAGATGTATGGCTGCTTAGTTTTACAAATAGGACATAAGAGGGTAAACCAGACAACAGTGAGTGTGGAAATCAGAGGACAGTGGTGTGAGAGCGAGCTGGGAGGGGATGATGCTTCTCTGCAGTTAGTCTTTTGTTTGGCTTTGACTCAGGCAGGTGTGTCCATGCTCCACAGATTCAAAACTAAGACGGAATCAGTAAGAGCAAGATGGGGGATGAACGTGAGAACAGGAAGAAAGCCTAGCATTGAATGTAATTGGAACAAACCAGTCTATTTTAAAGAATCATGCAGACAGTTGGTATTTATCCTTAGTCATGGGCAAGGCAGAAGGGACAAAGCCCTTCAGTTTCTGATCTTTTGATAGGTACATTTGCTTTTTATAGCGTGTGGACAAAGCAACTCTGTAGAATTGTAGGTGTGTGATAGACTTGAGTAAATGAACAAATGTGTTGATGTTTTGGGGAGCTACTTTTCTTATTGTAGAAGAGGTGGCATGTCATTTTAGGAAAAGGGGAGACAAGAAGGAACTCGGAGGAGTAGACTGGGACTGGAGATATCCCTGTGTACTCTTGACATGTTTATGTGTATGTAGGTGTACGCACATATGGCATACATAGTGTGAGTGTGTGTGTGTGTGTGTGTGTGTGTGTGTGTGTGTGTGTGTGTGTGTCTGTCTGTCTGTCCAGTGAGAGGACCCAGGCACAAAATACCCTAACAGCACTGAGCACACCTAATGCTCAGATTTGGTTAAAGGAAACTATGACTCTTCAAATAAAAGACTCACTCCAAGGCAGGATCGTCTTGTGTTCTTAGAAAGTAGGGAAGGTCTTTAAACAAAATAATGAGGCATGTCGCAAGGAGCCATCTTGAAGAGGCTTCCTATGGCCAAATGGAACAATCTAAGTATCAAATAATTAATAACCTTTATGGGACTGGGGCATGTGGCTCAGTGGTAGAATGCTTTCCTAGCACCCACAATGCCCTGGGGATCAATTCCCAGCACGGAAAAAAGAAATATGTCCTTTCAAAGCCACATGCAATGAAAATGTGCTAATTTAAAGAGTAACTTGTTGCCGTGATAATTTATAAACCATTGAGAGAAAATTAGGAATTTATAAGATCATATTGCTATATAGATAAATGAACAGGAAAGACAGGAAGTTCTATTTACAATCAGCCCTCAGTGCTGCATAGGGAGGCATCATAGAGAGGATCTAGAACTGGAAAATCATTTTGCAATGACCATATATCCTTCAAGTGAACTTGACACCGGCTAATGCCATCTGAGGAGAGGGAACCTCAACTAAGAAAATGCCTCTATAAGATCAGGCTGTAGGCAAGCCTGTAGGGCATTTTCTTAATTAGTGATTGATGGGGGAGGGCCCAGTCCACTGTGGGTGGTGCTATACTTGGCCTGGGTTCTATAACAAAGCAGGCTGAGCAAGCCATGGGAAGCAAGCCAGTAAGCAGCACTCCTCCATGGCCTCTGCATCAGCTCCTGCCTCCAGGTTCCTGCCCTGTTTGAGTTCTTGCCCTAAATGCTTTTGATGATGAGCTATTATGTGGAAGTGTGGATGAAATGAACCCTTTCCTCCCCAAGTTGCTTTTGGTCACAGTGTTTCATCACAGCAATAGAAACCCCAAAATCATCAATGGATAGCCTTGAGGAAGTTTTTAAATGAGAAATGAGATATTTTATATATTCTAAAATAACATCTGTATAAGTTGCTTATTGGTTTCAAAGTAAGTGTGTGATTTTTCAATGAAAAAAATTAGACAACATGTTAATTGGTTGATCAAGATTAATGTCATGTAGAATGTTCCCAGATATGATACTCTAGTATCATACCTAGCTCCAACATCCCTTATGTAGAATCCTGGCTGAAAATGTACAACCTGAATCTTATCATTAAAAAGCATAAGATAAATTCTAAAGAAACAATATTCCTTTTAAAAGAAGGCGAGAAAGAGGGACTATATATGTTTTTAATATCAAAGTCTGTGGAAATGTTACTGATCACAGTCGGCTAAAGAGACGCACTGAGGGCTACAAAGACAGGTGAAGCACTTATGCAAATGTAAGGCCCTGGGTTCGAATCCCCAGTAAAGTCAGCTGTGGCGGAGAATGTCTGCAACCCCAGTGCCCCTACCAGCAAGACGGGAAGGGAGACCGGAGGAGACTCCTCAAAGCTCATGGGCCACCTAGCCTGGCACACGCAGCGGAACAGCTAAGAGACCCTGTCTCACACAAGATGGAAGGGGAGGAACAGCACCCGAGGTGTCTACCGTCCTCCACACGCGTGCTGAGGCAGACGTGCACCAACCACCCCGACATCCACACGCTGGGGGTGGGGTGGGAGGTGGAGGGCTTGAAACTACTTCCAAACAACAAGTTCAAAATGGAGCCTAGTGGAAGGATCGACAATGGGTTAAGTAGAATATCCAGGGAGCTAGAGAGCAGCAAGTCGTGAGAGGAAAATTAAGCAGGAACACTTGTTGGAATGAGCTTTGTGCTTGTCACTAGAGCAGCCAGCCCAGGCAAAGACTCACAGGAAGTGACGTCTAAATATAGGGCTAGAGACAGGAAGTGAGTCCCAGAGCTACATAGGGGGTGAGTTTGCCTCAAAACACTTTTCCTAAGATGTACAAGAAGCTTATAGAGGTGGCTCTGTTTGGGGGTAGAGCCAGTGAGTTTGGGGTGCACTGTCTTCTTAAAGAGACCTTAGAACTCTTGGTGAGAGATGTAGTCTTTGGAAGGCTGAAGGCTGTTTCCCAGCAGGGAGCTGCGGAACTGAGGAAGCCACACTGGTGAAACCAAAGGTCAGGAAAAGCAAATTGACCTTCCGACCTTGAAGCCTGTGCTAATGCATACCAGCCAGCAGGTGGCCCTGCTGCCACAGATCTGGGGTTGGCAGGAGGAGATCTGAGAACAGCTTTGAACTGTGTCCGGTGCCTGATGCAGTCACTTGTTCATCATCCAACAGCTGAATTGTCTTTCATGTTCCTAGGTTGCTAACTGGGGTATCCAGAGCCTTGGCTTGTCTCAGTACGCTGACCGCCTGGTAGGCACCTACAGTGGAGGTAATAAGCGGAAACTCTCCACCGCCATAGCACTCATTGGCTGCCCGCCCCTACTGCTACTGGTGAGGACACCCCGTACCCTGCAGAGTTGAAGCATCGCTGCGTATCCTGGGCTGGGAAAGTTAGTTCAGGGTTTGCAGCTTTAGAAAAGAGCAGTTTGCTTTTGCCTGGCTCACTCATATCTTGTCCCCTTTGAGGAAATTAACCCAGTGTTTGGTCACAGCACAGTCTGGCCTTCAGTGCCTGGGAAGTATCCTGAGGGGCCAGAAGCAAAGAATGGGAAAGCTCCATCAGCTCCAGGGAATGTTGCTATCTGGTTAGAAATCAGGATGAGAAGGTCTGTGTGGACAGGAGTGCTGACCTGAGTCAGGGGCTCCAGGGACCCTCACAGGAGTTTGGAGCAGACTAGAGTCCCTGAGTCCATGCAGTCTGAGTTTGAAGAGGACACAGGACATAGAGGGGACTGGAAAAGTTGCCTGGGCTATCTCCCTCACTGACCCCTTCTAAGGCTAATTCTACTATTGTCTTTCTTTCTTCCTTCTTTCTTTCTCCTCCTCCTCCTCCTCTTATTATTATTATTATTATTATATTTCTTTATTCCTGTGGTCTTAACTGTAATTTACTCACAGCTGACATAGATCTATAGTTGTACACCATGTTTCTGGGCCCTCCGATTCTCCTTCTGCTCTTGTGTTCTAGAGCTCATGGTTCTGTCATGCTTGCTGGGAAGTGATGGCACACATGTCTGTTAGCCCAGGAAGGATGCAGTGATGGAGAAAGGCCACCTCCAAGTCCATCTCTCCCTGTTTACTCTCCTGCTCTACAGGATGAGCCCACGACAGGGATGGATCCCCAGGCACGCCGCATGCTGTGGAATACCATTGTGAGCATCATCAGAGAAGGGAGAGCCGTGGTTCTCACCTCCCACAGGCAAGAGATCCATCCCCAGGGAGGTGGGGGGAGGGCGGGACATCCCCCATCTTCGTTCTCACGTCCTCTCTCCTGCTTGATAGCATGGAAGAATGTGAAGCGCTGTGTACACGGCTGGCCATCATGGTGAAGGGCACTTTTCAATGTCTGGGCACCATTCAACACCTCAAGTACAAGTAAGCGGATGGAAGGACATGCCTTCCACTACATTCTGTGGGTTCAACCAGGCCTTGAGTTCATCATGGACGTTTGGGACACTTGGCTCTTCATTCCACAGGCACTGGCCAGTGATGGCCGGGCCAGACTCTCTGGAGGCCGATGGAGAAGGCTGGTGAGGTGTTCTATACTGGGCTGATTGCTTGTGCCTGGAAGCTCATAGGAGTCTCAGCATGGGAGATTTCTTACTGGGGCATTCACGGAGCCTAGCGGGGAAGCAGGAGGGTCACCTGGGAAGAAGGAGGGTCACCTGGGAAGTAGGAGGGTCACCTGGGAAGTAGGGGGTCACCTGGGAAGAAGGAGGGTCACCTGGGAAGTAGGGGGTCACCTGGGAAGAAGGAGGACTACCTGGGAAGAAGGAGGGTCACCTGGGAAGAAGGAGGGTCACCTGGGAAGAAGGAGGGTCACCTGGAAGGAGGGTCACCTGGAAGAAGGAGGGTCACCTGGGAAGAAGGAGGGTCACCTGGGAAGTAGGAGGGTCACCTGGGAAGAAGGAGGGTCACCTGGGAAGAAGGAGGGTCACCTGGGAAGAAGGAGGGTCACCTGGGAAGTAGGGGGTCACCTGGGAAGAAGGAGGGTCACCTGGGAAGTAGGAGGGTCACCTGGGAAGAAGGAGGGTCACCTGGGAAGAAGGAGGGTCACCTGGGAAGTAGGAGGGTCACCTGGGAAGAAGGAGGGTCACCTGGGAAGCAGGAGGGTCACCTGGGAAGCAGGAGGGTCACCTGGGAAGTAGAAGGGTCACCTGGGAAGTAGGAGGGTCACCTGGGATGTAGGGGGTCACCTGGGAAGTAGGGGGTCACCTGGGAAGAAGGAGGGTCACCTGGGAAGTAGGAGGGTCACCGTCACTGATCTAGTATCAACCCACAGTTGCCCACAGGTCCAGGACCCACGGCCTGTTTTATGACAGTCCACAACCAATGAATAATTAAGAGACCAAACAGCTAGGCAGAGACGGGAGGATCTCTGTGAGTTCAAGGCCAGCCTAGTCTACAGCCATGACAGCCAGGGCTACACAGAGAAACTCTGTCTTGAAAAAAACCAAAATGAAACAAAACAACAACAACAAAAAAGACCAAACAGCTTGAGAACCAATTTTCTTTTCTAAAATATTGTATCTGGTTAAGTTTTGGCGGGGGGGCGGGGGGGGGGGGGGCGCGGGGGAAATGACCATATATTATATGACAAACTAATAATGCCAGTAATCTTGAACAACATATAAATGGTTAAAGATAATTCCTTATTATTCCTAGCTTATAAGATAAAGCTAACAATTCATTAAAATGAGATTATTGTAACATCACTATCTTTCCTTGAATCCTAATATGCCTGGGAAAGAGTGGATTTATAGTTGTCACTCATATATCTCATATATTTAACATGCTTATCAAGAACCTAGGATATAAGCTACCAAGCTAGCTGGTAAAAAGAACAGAGAATCTAGCTTATCTGAGATCCAAATCTTGGGGAGTCCATGGGAGCATGTTGCATAGCAAACATCATCCTTCACATGCCTCAGGACGGAAAGATCTAATATATAAGGTGCCTTTGGCAAATGGGCATTGGGCCCCAACTTCTTCAGTATCCACCATGTGGAGATTACAGAGATAGCTATGAGGATGTGAGGTCACTAGACCCCTGTGACCAACACCCCATGCCCAACTGCTAAAGAACATTCCCCCCACTATCCCTCTCATTCCTCAGTAGCCTCATGATAGCAGAGGTAAGCAGGAGGGTGTTCCCATGTAGAGGGATGGCGGATTTCCTGGAACTGGAAGGCTAAAAGCATCTTACTGTAGAGACAGCCCTGGTCCATAGAGGAAGTTTTACAGAAAACTTTAGCTGACACAATGTACCTCCACACGTCATCACAGTCACCAGCCAAGGATGCATACTCTTTCTGGTGGCCCGCAGACCTAGTGAGGAGAAGGGAGAAGCATTGTTAGTGCTTTATATCGTTGTAACAAAAAACCTGAGAAAACCCACACTGAGGAGCAAAGGCTGGCCAGCTTGCTTTGGGCCTGGGGCAGAATATCACGGCCGTGGTAATATGTGGCAGAGAATCCTGCTTACCTTAGTAGATTCCAGGAGAGAGCGAATACCTTTTTCAAGCACATGTCCCCATGATCTTCTTCCTCCAACTAGTCCCCACCTCTAATGAAATCATCCACGCTTGAGGTGAGAACACCCTCATGATCATATCATCCCTTAAGGTCCTACCTCTACTCAGTGCTGCATTGAGGACCAAGCCTTCAATACATGAGTCTTTAGGAGATCTATCCAAACCACAACCAAGTTCCACTTCCTTCAGGAACTTTCCTTAGGACGTAGTGCCTTCCCAAGCCTTTGTTCCTCCCCGGGAAGTCTTAGAAAAGTTATTCAGCTTTCCCCACATCCGAGTGCTCCAGCCATGTCCTTGTGGGTGGGCTTGGGATCTCTACAAGGGGCTGTAACCACCGTGAACTTCAGCAAGGATGTTTCTCCAACTTCGCCACACAGACATTCAGACCTCCAGAAACTGATGCCGAACATTTTTTTGCTCCTAGTTTTAAATGTGGGTGGAAGGCCAATGCTGTGGGCTTGTAATCCCCGTTATGCCTAATGAGAGTACTCTTTGGGGACTGCCTTAGTTCCAATAGTCCTGCCCACTCTGTGCACTTGCTAGGTTTGGAGACGGCTACATTGTCACGATGAAAGTTAAATCGCCAAAGGATGACTTGCTTCCCGACTTGAATCCTGTCGAGCAGTTCTTCCAGGGCAACTTCCCAGGCAGTGTGCAGAGAGAGAGGCACCACAGCATGCTCCAGTTCCAGGTCGCCTCCTCTTCCCTGGCCAGGATCTTCCAGCTGCTCATCTCCCACAAGGACAGCCTGCTCATCGAGGAGTACTCAGTCACTCAGACCACGCTCGACCAGGCAAGTCCACCCAGGGTACTAAGTGCCAGTCGGCTGTGCCCGCTGCATGACAGCACCTGACATGAGTAGTGGATGACATGGGGGCAGACAGGATGTCTTTAATTTTAACACATCGTTGGTTTCTGTCCCTTAGAGTAAAATCTGGCATTTCAGAAATGGTTTTCTAATAATATTTCAGTCATCCACAAATTTACAAAGAACAAAATAGACATATTTAATTGTACAGCTCAGTGAGTCTTTATAAACATTTGTTCTTTGTGTAGGTATTTATTTATTAGTATAAATGTGATGTTTATGTGTGTGTGTACTTACATGTGTGCAGGTACACATGAACGTGTGTGAATATGCATGTAGAGGCCTGAGGCTGATGCCAGGATCTTCCTCGATTGCTCTTCCTTCCTATTCTTTGTGGCAGGGTCTCTCAATCAAACCCAGAGCTTTCCAATAATATGGCTACTCTTGCAAGCCAGCTTGCTCCAGGGATCACCTGTCTCCACCTTCCAAGGCTGGAATTATAGTTTACCACACTTACCAGGCATTTATGTGGGTTCTGGAGGATCTGAACTCTGGTCTTCACGTGTGATGAGCATTTTAAGTAGTTTAACAGCTGAGCTGTCTCCATAGCCCGTCTTTACTCTCTTAATTTTGTGTCAGTGAATGCTGTCTACCAAACACTCTCTTTCCACTCTTTGCTCCCCTGACGGTGCCCTGACAAGTTCTGTTTCACTTTGTTTTTGAGGGTCTTGTTATATGAAACCCAGGACTGTATGGAAGCTTTGGCTTCCAAGTGCTGGGAATAAAGGCTTGTGCCACCATGGCTGGTGCCTCCCACTTTCTCTTTAAAATTGTTGTTGATATCTATCTATCTCTGTTGATTGACCGATCAATAGATAGATAGATGATTGATAGATAGATGGATAGATAGATGATAGAGATATATAGATACACACATATTCCTAAATATATAAATGCAACCTGACCAGTTCTTATAATGTTACTTATATGCATATGTTTTTGTCCAACTGGTGTGCTCTCGCTCTCTCTCTCTCTCTCTCTCTCTCTCTCTCTCTCTCTCTCTCTCTCAGCATTTCTTAGATGTCTGCAGTTCTTTGTGTAGGGTTGGGGCCTCTGAAGCTCCCCCACCATCCACGTTAGCTTGTCCACTGGTGTCACCCTTGTTCGGGTCCTTCTACAGTCTATGAAACTGACTACTCTAGACACTTCATATAAGTGTAATCAAATAGTACTTGTCATTTTGTTACTGGCCTAATGTCCCCAAGGGTTCAGCACCACACTGTATCATGTGTCAGAATTGCCTTCCCTTTCAAGACTGAGTAATATTCAATTACACCTGCATTTTACTTATGTATCCATTCATTCATCAGTGAATTTTTGCGTTTGTCCTAGGTTGTTGGGGATTTTTTTATTTCCAATTTCTTATTTTTAGTAAACATCTTTAAAGACCATTTGGTAAAGCAGTGGAATCAGGCGAGTGTTTATCTGTAGAGAAGCTCACTCACCTGGTTATCTGTACTTTCTTGCCACCCTTAGGCAGGTGACAGTCACATTGGACTCCTGCACAAATTGTGGCCACACTGCATGTGGCATGAAGACCTCAGCAGAGAGCAGCTGCCTGTGCTCAGTTCCTGTTTTTAGAGAGCCGGGACTCTGCCGGCTGTCTTAGTTATCCCAGTTTCTCATGTCCGTGGCCCTTGGAATCCTCCAGCAAAACCCACTTGGCTCGGGAGTCTGAGAAGCAAGCCTTGTTCAGGGCACTGCTGTGTGGCCTTGTGGCACACCACAGAAGGAAACAAACTACACCCACAGGGCCGTCCATCAACTGTGGGAAACACAGAGCCAAGCACGCATGTGGTGTGGGGTCCCATCTTTCTAGAAACATCTACTTTCTCTTCTCTTGCCTGTAGGTATTTGTGAACTTCGCTAAACAGCAGACTGAGACCTATGACCTCCCTCTGCACCCTCGAGCTGCTGGAGCCAGCTGGCAAGCCAAGGTACTGCCAACTGCCCTTTCCTCACCATGGCTTAGACAGGGCCTCAGCTCAGGGGCTTTGCTGGGCCGGAGGTGCTCAGAGGTTCATTCAGATGACGCTCTGCAGAGAGCAGCCACGCCACATCCCCGCCTGTCCCTATCATGCCCACAATCCTCCTTGCTTGATCCCAGCCGTCCTCACTAAGAGCAGTTCTCAGTTGAAGATTCACCCAGTAGCTGAGCGGCTCCCACCTATAATCTGAAAACCATTTGGATGGGGTGGGTGAATCACATCTTAAAAGCACTTATTTATGTGTATGCATGAGTATGTGTCCAACCCAAGTTGTCAGGGTTGAGGCACGTGCCTTTATCCAGTGATACCGCCTCACAGGCCCAAAGAGTATTTTGAAAGGAACTTTCCCCGAACATTTTTACTAACAGCATAAAAACTAAAAATCTCCAAACTTCAAGTTTTAGGAATAAGCAGGGAAAGAGAGAATATTGAAACGTCTTGGCTGTTGGGATATGACCAACACTTCTTGGTCACACCTTGGAGCTTGAAAGGATGGGGACTAACGGGCACTCCGTTTAATGGTAGACATGTCTGGTTAGAGCCAAGGCTTTGGCCAGTTTGGGGGAGGTGGATTCTTTATTCTTCATGGAGCAATTAAGATAGCGAAGGAAGAAGTGATAGGAAGTGATGGAAGGTACAAGTTCTGTCCCAGGATAATGCCTGGGATGGACTTCCAGTGCTGCCCTAGCGCAGTGCCTACATCAGGAGAGTACCCACCCAGTTTCCCAGATGGAAAGAAAGCTAGAGAGAGTAGTGGGGTTGATGCCAGTAGCCAGATGGCTGGGCTTAAGCATGAGATTTTAACAAGGACAAGTAACTGTGCCATTCTGTCCAGACTACTGGACAGCAAATCAAATCAACTCAAAGTATTTATTTATTTATTTATTTATTTATTTATTTATTTATTTATTTATTTTGGTTTTTCGAGACAGGGTTTCTCTGTGTAGCTTTGCGCCTTTCCTGGAACTCACTTGGTAGCCCAAGCTGGCCTCGAACTCACAGAGATCCGCCTGGCTCTGCCTCCCGAGTGCTGGGATTAAAGGCGTGCGCCACCACCGCCCGGCCAAAGTATTTATTTAAAACAAACAAACAAACAAACAAAAAACATATGAAAAGCCTTATTTTCCATAGGTTTCTCTTTCCTCCCAACCAATTTCTTAATTGTAATAAAAGCCAAATACAGCAGAAGAGCAAAGCATGTCTTTCCAAGGTCATGCTTGTAATGAATACTTCTCCATCCCATGGCTACTTGGCAAGGATGATTTTGTCTCTCCATCTGTCACCCTCCAGAGGGCCCGGAATGCCCAAGTGAAAATGCCTGTCCAGGGCAAATTCCTTTTGCCAGTCTTCTAACTATTGCCTCTCATGTTTAGATCTGTTGATACAGGTTGAAAAAAATTATTCTTTGAGGGTCATTTACAGTCATGAGTCCCTTTTATAACAGAGAACACATAGTTAGATAGCAAAATTATTTCTAAGAGCTACCTATGTCCCCTTCCACATACCATGACATACTATTTATTTATTTATTTATTTATTTATTTATTTATTTCAGTTATTTGTTTGTTTGTTTGTTGACTGGGTCTCACTGTGTGGTCCAGGTTGGCTCCAAAGCCATGGTCTGCCAAAGCAAGTGTGTGTTGCCATAGCCAGGGGCACAGTCCCTCCTACAGGACTAACACCAGCTGACCTGGACCAGGCCAGGTTGCTCACGGTCTGTGATTTGGACTGCTTGATTCCAACTTTTCCCTAAGTTCATGTTTCTATTGTGTTTGTCACATTCTTTTTTTTTTCTTACCAATATTCAAGAACCTATTGTAACACATTGGCTAAATTACTATTTTTATAATAAATGTGTTATTCAAAAATCTAACTCTGACCTATGACATACCATCTTCATAAAAAGTTTACAGAAATCCTTTATATGGTATTATATATAAATCTGTCATAAATCAGATAGTAATTGAGTTCTTATCTACATTATCCTACTTAAATATCCTGAAGACAAGAAGCAGGTGCTTTACGTCAGTCAAGGAGATCCAGGCAACGTTCCCAGCTTGTTCTGAACAAACAAGAAAGCTAGGCTTCGGGAAGTTCAGCCGCTGATGGCTTCACAGCTCCTGATTTTGAGCAGGGACTAAACAGACGTTTCATTATCTAGAAATCTACTTATCAGGGATGTTTTAAAGTTCTCCAAAGGACCCAGTCTTAGGAGACATCTCTTAGGATTTGGCTCCATACATTGTCACAATCTGTTTTCTGAAAACAGATGAACATCAAGGTCTTGGCAGGAGAGCGGGTGATCAAGGATCTGTTAACTTAGAAATCTCCTAAACAAGTGAATCATTTTACACCCATCACATTTGCTTTAGAAAATCAGGAGCAACTCAGAACAATGTCTGATTCTTATTTTTATACATAGAGGTTTCCCTACATCATGTTTATCGTTCAGTTAGATTCTTAAGTGTTTAAGTACCTGCAGTCTTGACTGAGACTCTTGTTCTGTCTCAGAGCCTGTTCTTATCCCTATATCTCATTGTCTATTTCTTAAGAGGTTGTGTGTTTAAACCAGATAATTGGACAAGCCACATTTCGCATAGGCTGGGAAGGCCTACCTCCAACCCTCTCCTTCTCCTGCTCCCCCGACCTCACAGCTGGTATTGGATCATGAAGACAGCCTATAATTTATGATTAGAGATGATATGTCTCTAGCTAGAAAGGTTGAGTTAGAAATATGTCCATTTCTCTAGGACCCTGAACTTAGTGCGTAAGTTTGATCTGGATTCATTATCATGAACTCCATTTGAATCTCTCTTCATGCTATCTATACCCTGGTCAAATGATCTTTCTTCCCAGGGACCACCTCTGAATGAGCTAGACAAAGAGAGGTCTAGACAAGGGCTGAACTGAAACGGTAACTTCTTGGCTTTTAAGCCAGCAAGGTGATGGTGACTTTCTTGGGTTAAATAAAACACGCAGGGGAACTGGAGAGATGGCTCAGTAGTTAAGAGCACTGACTGCTCTTCCAGAACACTAGAGTTCAATTCCCAGCACCCACATGGCAGGTCACAGCTGTCTGTAATTTAAATTCCAGTGGATCTAACTCCCTCACACAGGTATACATGCAGGCCAAATACCAATGCACATAAAATAAAAATAAATTATTTAAAAAAACAACACCCAGGGTTGGGAACTTAGCTCAGTGGTAGAAATCCTCGTCCAACACTAAAAGGATCTAGGTTTGAACGCCAGCATGGGAGTGGGGAATATGGTCTCCAAAACATCCATTGGAAAGAGCACCAAGGGAATAGCTTTCTACTAAAAATGTAAACGCACAGGCACATAAGTCTCTGTAAGAAATGTGTGGACCTTAGAGCACATCTGGTCTGCTCACTTCACAGCTAAGAACTCAAGGCAGCCCATAACCTTGGTTGTTTGATAGAATCCAAGTCCATTCAGCTGAGCGTCCTCCAGACCCTGCCAATGGCTATACCTTAAAACCTAAAACTCTATTGCTCCAGAAAACCAGGAGAAGTGTCCAGCTAACCTTCCACAGGACTGATCCCAACCATGTTGCTTGTTCCATATAGCTCGAAGGGAAAGCTGGACGGCCGGAGACGCAGGAGCCTTTGCCCACAGGATCAACTGAACGACTGGCGAACATAAACAAGCCTACCGAGGCAGAAGACAAACACACCAGGCGCCCACAGTGAACTCAAGGAGGCTCTTCCAGAAGGAAACCAAGACTCACTGGCTCACCGGAATTCCTGATGGCAAAACTGACCTATCCAAACATCCAGACCACCCAAGTAGCCGCTGACCAGTGGCTTTGCTTAGCACCTCGTCCATTCTGAGTGGATGTGCTTTTGTGGGGTGGGAGGAGTGTGGGTGTGTGGGTATTATTTGGAAGGAGGAATAAAATGCACTCTCCTTGTGAACTACTCATTAATCTCCCCTAAACACGGCTTCATTAGTGTTCAGCATATGGTATAGTTTCAGACTTTCTCAGAGGGGAGAGGAGCAGTCACTTACAGCATGAGGGATTCAGAGAAGCATGAAGTCCATTCTCATCTACCATGTGGGTCCCAGGAGTCAAATTTGGGTCATCAGACTTGGTAGTAAGCATCCACTGAGCCATCTTGAATGCCCTGTAAACTATTTTGAGTGGCAATTTATTCCCCTTCTCTCATCCCTCTACTAGATTGCAAGATTCTATAGATCTTGAATCTTACTCGTCTTTGTAGCCTTTGCTATTTATATGCTCTTTTCTGATGTTTTAACAACATACTAGATTTTCAGTAACTACTAAGTGGGTAGCATGAAAATGTTATGATTCATAACAGTAGCAAAATTACAATTATGAAGTAGCAATGAAAATAATTTTATGACTGGGGGTCACCATGACATGAGAAATTGTATTAAAGGGTTGCAGCATTAGGGAGGTTGAGAACGGTTGAATTAAATTAAGCTTGCCTTACCCTAAATTAACCTAATAAGATAATATAGTTTTAAAACCAGTGGCTGGAACCCAGCTAATTGCAAGTATTCTGCCAGCCACAGACGACAAACTGAGGAAATATGTCCGTTTAAGGGACAATCGGACTCTACGCCCCCAGGCTACTTCTCTGTCCTTCAGCAGCGTTTTCTGACTGTGTTCTAGCGCCCTCTGGACCATCTTCGCAGCAGGTACCATCCGCTTCTCAGTCTTTGACCTGCTCAACTAGTCCCTGTCGAATGTGTCTAACATTTTCCTTCCTAAGAGGTAGGAGTCAGAAGTGAGCTCTCAAGTAGAATTCCCAGACTGCTAATGACTGGATAGAACTGCCCGGTCAGGGCCCATTGTACCTTTGGCCTCTCCCAGTCACTGGAGGTCAGGGGTGAGTTCTTTCTTGGATCCTGAACTCCACAAACCTGTGTTCTGAATTCTTTGGATTGATTTAAGCAACTCGTAGATTAGACTGGGTCCAGAATGAACTACATCCAATATCTAACTGTTCAGATCCATTAGCAGCCTCGGCTAGGTACATTTTGATAATGGGTTTATCTAATTAGAGTCATCTTCTGGGGTTCTAGATGATTTTATGTATAAGAGTTATAGACCAGACCTTATATAAATTAAGGAAAATGTCTTGCTCATTTAGAGATTGAATCATGCTAAAAGTATAATGGGCTAGACGTGGTGGTGTTCCTCTTTAATCCCAGCACTGGGGATGCAGACGCAGGCTGATCTCTCTGAGTTCCAGGACAGCCAGGGTTACATAGAGAGACCCTAGTTGAGAAAGTCAGTCTTGTTTGCCTTTGCTTGGAAAGGTCAACAGTGCACCCCCCAAGGCTTCATTCACACACAGACTCACACACACACACACACACACACACACACACACACACACACACACCCCAGCACTGAACGAGGACTGAGCATCCCCAAAATTTTCTCTGACCTACACCCAAAAGGCAATTACAAGGCTCTTTTGACCTGTGGGATGATGTAGACTCTGGGTCTGACATGTTTTCCTAGGAACCTCATCTTTCTCACTAGAAGGGACCACAGTCTTGGTTTTAGGAAGAGAATCATGGCAGCCCTTTAACCAAATGGCATTGACCTCTGACCCTAGTTTTAAACCTGCCATATTATGCTAACCCTGTTAACCTTACTTGTCCATGAACATAATCATGAGCTTTCATACTGGAGCATGGCAACAACCATGCCCGCCTATATTATATTGTGCAATTAGATCGAGTAGCTAAGGCATGTCTAAATTACTTAACAGCACCGCCAGCAGCAACCAGATTGGCAGAAGTTTCGTTCACGGTGGCATTGGGAAATGAACTTTAGTTACAAGTGCTCACATTCTATGGAAAGTCCACTAAAATCCAAACATCTCTTTCCAGTCAGTAGACTAGCAACTCCTGCAACTCTGGCCCTGCCTCCTAATCACCATCTAAAATGTCGGGTTTTAGACTGCCTCTTTGTTGTCTTGGTCTGGATGATGGTACATAACCACACATCATGAAAAAGAACCCAGTCAATCCAGTGACATCACATAAGCCATTACTCTTCCGTCAGTGGTGGGTTCGGGTCTTGATTATACAATACTGGAAACACAATATGTCTTTTGTTTATTCTGGGTTGTTTGGTTGGTTGGTTGGTTGGTTTTTCCAGACAGGGTTTCTTTGTATAACCCTGGCTGTTCTGGAACTCACTCTATAGACCAGGCTGGCCTCAAACTCAGGGATCTGCCTGCCTCTGCCTCCTGAGGGCTGGGATTAAAGGTGTGCACCACCACTGCCTGGCTTCAATATCTTTTGTAGATATCGGATAGGTTTTCTGTATTTGGTAGCAATTATGTTGGGGTTTTGTTTTGTTTTCCCTTTTTCAATGCTGGGAATCCAATCTCGAGCATAGCACATGCTAGACAACTGTCATACTACTGAGCCACAGCCCAGCCCACAACTGGGATATTTTGCCGGGGTGTGGGTGGGTATCTTGTGCACTGAATTAAGTCAATTTTGGTTTTTTTTCTCACTAGAAGTGGTTCTGTACCCTTGCAGCATAAAGGGACTATGGGAAAGTGATTTTTCTCCCTGGACTTTGCTCAGGAGCTGTGTGGACTCATAGGCAAACAGTTTTAACCAGCCTCTGATCAAACATTCTCTTTTCTAGCCAGCCACTGTGAGGGCATGTTGGGTCACAGAGAATGTGAATGCCCTGTCCTGCCTCCACACTGCATCAGATGTTACTCCTCATTCCTGCCCCTCACATTACTTCCCCTGAAGTGTTTTGTCAGGTATTAAATGGGATACACTGAGAAGTTGATCAGTAATCAGTATTATTGTATGAATATCCTAGAACATGTATATATATATATATAAACCTACATAGTCTGGCCTATAAAAGGCAGCATGGGCTGGCCTACTTTTTCCTTAGCATGTTACTGTATTACTGCTGCAGGCAAATGTAACACAGGGGGAAGGGTGTGTTTATACAAACAGAAAAGGCAATGAGAAAACACAGTTTAGAACTTGAAGGAACTCAGCAGGAATAGAGGCCGAAAGGAAAAGTATCAGCTCAGGACGCCCAAGAGCAAGTTCTCAGCACAAAGAAGACTGATTTGCCCCAGAGTGACAGAGGGCAGGGATAAGGGACAAAGACAGGAGCTAGAGGGAGAGGGTAAAGGGGAAGGATCAAAGGAAAGGGTGCGAGGGCATTTGTCTTGGGGTGGGGACAAAGGGCTGCCTCTGCAGAGAGAGGAGATGGGTGTGGCCCAGAGGAACACAGCAGGTTATAGAGGACAAAGGGAAAGCCTGCGTTAGAATGAGGTGTTTCATTTTAATTGGGCGTGTTAATTAGGGCAGCCAAAGGGAGCCTTTGATGGCTGGACTTCGACACTTTGATAGCTGGACTTTGGTGGTCAGCCTCAGGAGCAGGAAGTGACCAAATAAGGGAACAGACCTTGGTGGCTAGCTTCAGGAATGTAATCTAATGATTTGTCAGCAAGGCAGGGTGGCCGGGAGAGAAGGGCAAGGCCTGCCAGAGCCATGCCTGCCAATCAAGCAGGTCAGAGTCCCTTCAGGGCTGCGGAACCTTTAGTGTCAGTGGGTGTGTGAATGTGGAGGCCCAGGACTTGTGTACTCCTGCAGACTTCATAGACACCATATATTCAGTTTACACTAGGTTTGTTATTTTATCTTTCTTCGATAATAGTTTCATTTTATCGTACTGAAGCTTTTTGCCACCAAAAACTATTTTTTTAAGCTTTCAACTTTTTAGGACACTGCTAAAAGCACAAATTCCTACAGTTGCACAAAAATAGTTTCTCTATACCCTTATTATATAAGCTTTCTTTCTATTAAAAAAATTGAGCCAGGTTCTTATGTAGTTTATGCTAACCTCAAACTTAATTTGTAGTTAACAGTACCCTTGAACTCCTGATCCTTTTGTCTCTGCCTCCTGACTGCTGGGATTACTGGCTTAAACTACCATATCCAACTAAATGTTTTATTCTTTTACTATTTTACTTTTTAAACTTTTTGGTTGGCGATCAAGACACAAGCTTAGAGTTATTCAGAGTTAAACCACCAGTGTCCTTGACCTCCTCAGTTCTTCTCATTAGAAAGTTTTCAAGGTAATAACTCACTCGGAGCTGTCACCTCCTACAACAACATCATCTTATGCTGGAATCGCTCATGAAAGCCTTGCAACTTGCCAATACCAAGGGACATCAGTCCTTTCAGTGTGCAGCAGGAACAGTATGTCATGGTGACTCAGCTCTTCTCCCAAGATGCACTCTTGAATTGCCATGCCAGCAGAGCAGAGAAGCATTGCTTGGAGAAAGATCTTACAAGGATTTCTTGCTGTTACTGATGTTCCCACACATCACACATCGGCCCTTTTGCTGGCGTTGCGCCCACATCACAATATCGAAGTGATACCTTCCCTTCAAACACCACTCTGCTTTGCCCAAGCCATAGCGGTAGCAGAAAGATGACGTCACTGCAGCCCATGATGCTTTGCTTGCCTTGCCCCCTTTGTCACAGATTTGCTTCTAAACCAACAACGCAGCTGGAACATTCCTCTATTCATGAAAATGTTTGCTCTTGGGGTCATGTTTTCAAACTTTTGAAGATTATTGAGGGCTATAGAAACTTCTGCTAAATTCTGTGGCTCTTCTTGGCCTTCTTCTTCTTCTTCTTCTTCTTCTTCTTCTTCTTCTTCTTCTTCTTCTTCTTCTTCTTCTTCGACTTCTTCGGTTTCTTTTTTCCTCTCTCTTCTCCAGCTATGTGTCCCTCTTCTTGTGCTAACAATTCTTTATTAGTCACTTCCTCAGGAGCTCCTAGGTATCATCCCCTGTCACACCCAGGTCCAGTGTGTTGCCAGCTCAGCTGCAGCCTTGGTGAGTTTGGCAAGCTCCTCATCTTTGGTAAACCTTTTAAAACCATGGGCAATCCTCTTGTCTTAAGATGCCACCCTGACACTCCTTGATGATGTCACCTCGAATCCAACCAAGATTCTTGATGCAGTCATGGAGGTTTTAATCCCCAAGGAGCTGCATCTGTGTCTTTCTGTTACAGCAATGGCTTGGGCAGAGCAAAGTGGTGTTTGGAGGGAAGATATCACTTCGCTAATTGTGATGTGAGTGCCGCGCCAGCAAAAAGGCTGTTGTGTGGGGACATCAGTAACAGCAAGGAGATCCTTGAAAGATCTTTCTCCAAGCAATACTTCTCTGCTTTGCTTGGCATGGCAATTCAAGAAAGCATCGTGGGAGAAGAGCTGACTTACCTGCTACCAAGCCGTTACCATGACTTACTGTTTCTATCACATACTGGTGGTGTAGGCACAATGCCACGTTTGAAAGCCTTGGGGGCTCTCACTATGCCAGATCACAAAGGGTTTCAACATGTACCTTGCATCAGTACCCTCAAGCCAGACTCTGATCTGTCTGTAGTAGCCTTCAATCCAGCATTGACTTGTCCTCCTGAAGGTGAAAGTCCCCTCAGGTATTCATCACCAGAATAGGGGAATTTTATCTACATTAAACATTTGCTCCAGCAAGTAATTTTTCCCTGAAGTCAACTCACCCAGAGTTTCCAAAATTTCTTCAGCTGTTTTCACATTGCAATTCAGAGACTTGACATCCCTTATACATCACATAGTGAATAATCTTTTTTTTTTTAACCACTTAACTCACCCAGGGCTAATAGTAAACCCAACATCATTGCTTGGCCCAGTCTTTTCTTTCAATGTTGAGATCAACCTTTGTGCTTTGGTTTTGATTGCCGTGGTACTGACAGGAATATGCTTCTGGGCCTGGTCTTTGGTCCAGATCACTGGAGGTTTCTCCACAAGTGATAGAGGTCCTGGTGGGAATTTTCATAGTCTCATTGCCTTCTGTGAAGCAGATTGTTGAACTGCCTCCATTGCTCTGATTTTTGTTCATCAAGATGGTATCTTTGATTGAGGGGGCATGACTGACGGTCACTCAGTGACCATCACTGACTTCTCCCCTTCACAGTCTTTAACTGCTTTTAATTCTGTTTCTGAGTCTATCATCCCCCCTTGGTGTCTTGCTGGTGAAATTAGCAGTGGATTTGGAAGTCCTGATGACCAATACAAGAGTAAATCAAGCACAATGGGGACTGTTGCAATCCAGGGATACGGAACAGGGGAGACACATGAGGCTGTTGCCGAGTTAACACAGCCCACTGCTCTACAGGAAGCTTTTTTTTTTTCTGACAAAGAAACAGCTTGCCAAAACAACAGTAAAAAGGGCTATTATGTGAAATGCATAAAACAGTAGCATAGTCATTTATTATCATTGTCAAGTATTATGTACGTTACATAATTACAGCTCTCTACTTTTATTTGATGGGCACCCAGTTGAGATGCTTGTACCAGCATCACCACAAATATGCGAGTGATGTTTTCTACTGAAATCTTACAATCACTGTGAGATCACTGGGTGCCAAGGATTTTCCAGCCCCAGTCTGATCTATGGGACCATCGTATACACGGCCTATCATTGACTGAAGTGTCAGTATGTGGGGACTGATTGTACTTCCATAACCAGAGCCCATCACTGCCCATAGCCAAAGCTAGCACCAACCTTGAAAGAGAGGGAAGTGTGTTGGATTCCTTTACTAGGGAAATATTCTAATAGAGTTCCCAGAGGTTCCCCCACTTTTTATTTGTGTATTTGTTTTTGAGATAGGATCTTACTATGTAGCTCAGGCTGTCCTGGAACTCACCACATAACCCCAGCTGGCCTTAGACTTGAGGCAACCCTCCCGTCTTAGCCTCCCTGATGTGTTATATTCAAGCTTGAGAACCCTGAAGACTTGTGTACCACCATCCTTTGTTCAACAATGCTCGCTATGATTAGAATAGTAAAAATATGAAGAAAACACACAGGATCATTCAAGTAATTTGGTGTTATAAACTCATGTTTACTCCATACTGAAACCAAAGGAGTCCATTACGACAGTGAGGGAAAGTAGTGTTGGTGCCCAGGGTTCTGGTCAGTCTCTCAAAATTGAGGGGCAAATGATACATTGCATTTAGCCCAAAGCTGCCTTCTTATGTAGCAAAATATAACTCTGCAATATACAAGCAAACTGAAACCTAATGTGAGACTGTCTTCTTTAAGAAGTAGCCAAGTCTTCGCCCAGCATAGGAGATGAGCTTTCAGTCAATTGTAGACTGCAAAACAATGAAACGTGTCCAAATAAAGCAACTGCTGACCTGTAACCAAGCAGGCTGTTTCTATATACCACTTCTGTTTTCTGCCCAAACTGTGCAGTAGAACTCTCCAAACTGCCTTTATCCAAAGTGATATCTGATACTAAATGAATCTTTTGTTCTGCTCAGCATGATGCTACTAAATGTAATGTATCTAAGGTTTTTCTTTTTAATGAGCTGCCTAGCTTGTTGAAGTTTAACAGAGCAAGCTGGAAGTCACTGCATTGAAAACACATTGCGAAAGAGATACCATGAGACATTATGGCATAAGGGAGAAACCCGGTGTTAGGGAAATTCCCAGGAATCCACAAGGACGATCCCATTTTAGACTACTAGCAATAGTGGAGAGGGTGCCTGAACTGGCCTACCCTGGTAATCATATTGGTGAATACCCTAACTGTCATCATAGAGCCTTCATCCAGTAACTGATGGAAGCAGATGCAGAGATCCACAGCCAATATGAGCAAGGCGGGGGAGGTGGTGGTCAAGATCATGATGGGGAAATCTACAGAGACAACTGAACCAAGCTTGTAGGAACTCACGAACTTTAGACAGCTTGGAACTTGCATGGGACCAGACTAGGCCTTCTGTATACAGGAGCCAGTTGTGTAGCTTGGTCTGTTTGAGGGACCCCTAGAGTGGGATCAGGATCTATCCACAGTGCATGCATGAGCTGGCTTTTTGGAGCCCATTACCTATGGTAGGATGCCTTGCTCAGCCTTGATGCAGTGGGGAGGGGCCTGGTCCTGCCTCAACTGAATGTAACAGGCTTTGCTGACTCTCCACAGGAGCCCTTACCCTTTTGGAGGTGGGGATGGGGGTGGGCCAGAGGGGGGAACCCTGGGGGGAAGCGGGAGGAGGGATGAGAGGGGAATCTGTGGGTGGTATGTAAAATAGATAAAAAAAAAATTCTTAACTAAATAAAATAAAAAGAAAAGAAAAGACATTGCACCATAGCAGCTCACAGAGATCTTTGGGAATATCCAGAATCCTACTGCAAGCTTGGAACCGATTCCTCAATGGTCCATTCAGAGAACTTTTTCTTGGTACTATAAGCAAGATCACCAGGTCTGAAGCCAGCTGGGCCTTGTCAGATGTACCAGCAGAGAGAGTGTTTACAAACAGGATCAAAACTCCAAAGAGTCATCTAGCTCCCAGGGAGGCTACAAGTAGTTCCCTAGGCATCCAGCTACGCACTGGACAGCATCCAGGGATCAACGGTCAGATGTTGCATAACACAGCACATGATCTACAGCAGCACACACATACACCATCATCCTTTGGCAGGAGGCCTGGGCTTTCATAACCACATTCTTGGATTTGCTTGTGAACTTTTTTTTTTTTAACAGCCACAACAAATGGATGTCCAAGACTGATGATCCTGTTTTGCTATGGAAAAGTGAATCGGCCAGTTAAAAGTACTCAGACCATGGCAAATGGGGGTATCTGGCCCTGAACATTACAAAACCAGATAAAGACAAAGGAATTTGGAAACTGTCAAAGAACACATCCATATAGCTAAGGAGATAGTCTCAATATTTAGCATTTTCAGCAATATTTAACATGCTCAAAAGAAACAATGTAAGCTACTCATTAGAACCAATAAAATAAGCAAATGAATGCAAGGATAAATAAATAAATAACTGTTTGCAGAGCTAACCTGAAGGCAACAGGAAACTTAATGCCAGAGCCACGGTCGGGTCAGGCTCAGGTCCTAACAGCCCCAGTCCTGTCTCCACCCCGCATTCACACCCTGCTCTCCTTTAATGAGAAAGAATGGCAGAGAGAGGCCAGAACTGAGCCAGGGCCAACAGGACATGTGTATACTCGCCAGGCTCTTCACAAAAGCATGGCATTTCTACAACAGTGCAGGCTGGAAGGGGAGCTAAACAGAGGCAGAGCGCACAGAGCTAGGAGGAAGCAAACCTTGGGACAGGAAGGTTAGGGCAGGGTGGATAACAAGGCTGAAACAATCCTGAAGCAGCCTCCAGGGAACCCAGCCCCGAGGGCATGGACACCTGCTTCTGAGAGTAGGTGGGGGACCAGAGCACATGCATTCACAGCGTTCCTCAACATCATGATCCCACGAGTCATCCACGGAGTAAGCATTGTTTCGATTGACCGGTCAGTGAGATGAAAAGACCTGTAGATACAGGCCAAGCTGGAAAAACAAGACGAAAGGATTTACAAAAGCTGTAAGAGAAGGAAGACATTTGGCATAAAGTGAGACAGCCCATGCCCCTGGGAACAGATTCGGCCAACTTGGAAAGGGCAGGTATAGGCTCTCTGTCTAGCTAAGATTGAAAAGCCTGAAAAATAAAGCAGGAGGTGGTGGTGTTCTGGGGAAGATCATAGGGATGTTTTCTCTCTTGCAAACATCAAAAAGCCTCATAGCTTCAGAAGTGTTAGCAAAGCCTCACCTAAGAAACTCACTGGCCTGT